AGTGGCATTCCACAAAGCTTGTCTCAGAGCAAGCCCATTGAAATGAATGGACACACGACTCAGCTAGGTCCATTCATTCCTATGAGGTCTGCTCTGGGCAAAACTTTGCTGAATACCGTTCTACGCTCCTACAGTCACAGTTAAGTACTATCCATCAGATCAGCTTTGCGCTGCGGCGGGAAGGTAATAATGTTATTTGTTTGATCATAAGCCGTGGCGAAATGACAACAACCCGTAAATCTGGCAAATAATTACAAAAGGATAACATTACAGAACGACAAAACCAATTGTCTTGACGGCAGCTCCAGGCGGAACCTAATTTATCGCAAAAACTTCCGTTCTTCAAATGGCGCTCAGGCACACTCGCAGCAATGCAGATTTCCTGCCCTTCTCCAGCGCCAAAACAAAAGGCAGGAGCTGTGACAGAGTGCAGCTGCTTTGCATGTAGAAGGTCTGTGGCTCAATCCCCCATGGTATCTCCAGGTAGGCCTGGGAGTGACACTGGTCGGATGCTCCCAGATGCTCCCAGTCAGTGCAGATAATGCTGGTTTAGCTGGACTTATAACCCAATTCAGAATAAGACAGCTAACTATGTCTTACGGGTTGTGGCTCAATTAGACCAGCTGCTTGGCAGGCTGAAGGTCCCATGTTCAGTCTCTGGCGTCTCCAGTTAAAAGGCTCTCGCATCACAAAGCTAAAAGCAACCAGTTCCAATTGTCAGACCCAGAGGGCAGCTGCTGTAAGGCTCACATGTTTGTCCATAATCAAATGAGGGATATAATTTGGCCCCAGCAAAAGGCATTGAGTTGAGGCTCACTTCAAGAAGACCTGTTGCAAAACTCCAGCTCCCATCCTTGGTTATTGTCAAGAGCAAGCCAGCAGTTGGAATCCAACAATATCTGGAGGGCCACATGTTCCCCCTACCTGCCTGTCTCAGCATGTTGGGTGGGGCTTAAAGGTAAAGGGACCCCTGACCATTAGGTCCAGTTGTGGCCGACTCTGGGGTTGCGGCACTCATCTCGCTTTATTGGCCAAGGGAGCCGGCGTACAGCTTGGGGCTTACACACAGGTAAATAAATCTGCCTAGGCCTGCAGTTTTCTTCACTCTGAACTCCCTCGCCCTCTAGTGGCCAGGTGGATTTAACTCACTAGAACAACTCTTCAGAGGCCCCATTGAACCAAAGGTTCATGCATGCACACACACAATTGAACTGTCTTAACACACAGGCATCTCCTCACCCCAGGCAACTCTAAGGGGTCTCTAGCTGGGCATTATTTATTGCATTTATACCCTCGCCTTCTTTTCCAAAGAGCTCAAGTCCATGGTTCTCCTCCCATTCATTTAATCCTCACAACAACCCTGTGAGGTAGGTTAGGCTGAGAGGAGACAGTGATGGCCCCAAGGTCACCCAGGGAGATTTCTTGTGGACTGGAGACTTGAACTGTAGTCTCTCCCAGGTCCTGGTCTAACCACTGTGCCGCGCTGGCTCCCCAGCAACCTCAGGGGGATGCAAGAACTGTGTTCTCTCTGTGTGTAAGAGACACACACATAGAGAATAAGGCCAGCAGTGGTTGCACATTAGGGTGTCTAAACATTGCCTCCACTGTTGAATTGGAAGCAAGGAAGATGTTGCTGTGCACAGGTGCTTTGGGGCTTCCCATTGAGGCACCTGGCTGGTCACTGTGAGAATAGAATATTGGACCTGGTGGGCCTTTGACTCACGTTACATTCATATTTTTAGAACATCCTGCCCTGTGCAGAGTTCTGCGTTGGTTGAAAGCTCACACACCATCTTGTGAATCTCGGTGGCTGGTAGGGTCATTTTATTCCATTGTTTTGCTGCTGTTAACAAACGTTGCATGCCAGCATCCCCAGTCTCTGCTGAGCAGGAGCAATATTCCAGGGTTCTCTCCCAGGGTTGTGCTGCCATTGGGAAATTGAGGCCCATAGGAAACTAAGAAATAGGGTTAATTCACACATATTTACACCCAAAGCCTAACAACAACAACAACAACAACAACAACAACAACTTATTATTTATACCCTGCCCATCTGGCTGGGTTTCCCCAGCTGCTCTGGACGGCTTCCAACAAAACACTAAAATGCAATAACCTATTAAACATGAAAAGCTTCCCTAAACAGGGCTGCCTTCAGATGTCTTCTAAAAGTTTGGTAGTTATTTTTCTCTTTGACATCTGGTGGGAGGGCGTTCCACAGGGTGGGTGCCACTACTAAGAAGGCCCTCTGCCTGGTTCCCTGTAGCTTTGCTTCTTGCAATGAGGGAACCACCAGAAGGCCCTCAGCGCTGGACCTCAGTGTCCGGGCAGAACGATGGAGGTGGAGACGCTCCTTCAGGTGTACTGGAGAGAGTTCAGAACATCACATCTCAAGAGCGGTGTGTTTCCCCAGTGCTGGATTTCCAAGGCATCCTGACCGCCATCTCATTGCCTCTGCCCCAGCCTGCCAAGATGGTTCCTGCCCTCACAGCAGCTCCTGAAGTTCTGCCCACTTCTTTTCTTCTTCTTCCCAAGAATGCCTGCTCCAAGCAACTCCTCGCCATCTGTCTGCCTGCCCCACTGTATCCAAAACTGTTGGGGGTTTTTTAAGAGCATTTTTCCTGTGTGACATCATGCCCCCCCTGTCACTTTGACAACTGGATGGTTTCCATTGATGGGTTAATGATTCGCTTCCTGGCCTGAGGGATAAAAAGCTTTCCCTGTATTTTTCATTGGCCTGGCATCTTCCCTTCAAATGCTATCTAAATCCCATCATTTATTAATTTCTCAACACACCTTAGCAGTTACTGGTGCCCTTGCACCCAAAACTGTGTTACCGCAGATCTGTAACACTACAAATCTTTGGATTTTTGCTAAACACCTTTTTTGAAAAAAGAAGAAAGATTTATTTTCCTATCATCTGTCAATCGATAGGGTTCAGTCATGGAGGCTGGTCTATTAGGAGAACAGGAGGAGGAGGAGGACAAATCTAGAATGAGTTGGCTCCTCCTCTCATTGCATAAAGGTAAAGGTAAAGGGACCCCTGACCATTAGGTCCAGTCATGACCGACTCTGGGGTTACGGCGCTCATCTCACTTTATTGGCCGAGGGAGCTGGCGTTCGTCCGCAGACAGCTTCTGGGTCATGTGACCAGCATGACTAAGCCGCTTCTGGCGAATCAGAGCAGCACACGGAAACGTCGTTTACCTTCCCGCCAGAGCGGTACCTATTTATCTACTTGCACTTTGACGTGCTTTCGAGCTGCTAGGTTGGCAGGAGCAGGGACCGAGCAACGGGAGCTCACCCTGTGGCGGGGATTCGAACCGCCGACCTTCTGATCGGCAAGTCCTAGGCTCTGTGGTTTAACCCACAGCGCCACCCTACCCTCCAACATTTCTCCCATGAAAATAGGGACGTCCTGAGGAAAAGTGGGACATTCTGGGATCAAATAAGAAACCGGGAGGGCTTCTCTAAATCAGGGACTGTCCCTGGGAAATAGGGACACTTGGAAGGTCTGTCATTAGCTCTGGCTCAGCCAATCATCTTCTGCTCCACTAGTTCTGATGGGCGCCAGCCAAGAAAGCTCAGTGTCATTTCGTCTGCCTGGCAGAAACAGCCAAAGAATTTGAGCAGGGAGAAAGAAACCTTTCCTAGCTTCAGGATCTCAGCTCCTTTTAACTAGGAAAAGGGCAAGGAAATAACGTTTTCTGGCTGCAAAGTAGTTTGTTTCATAGCTCAGTTTTGGATCTCTCCCACCCCAGCAAGGACATAGTGTGTTAATAGTATAAATAACATTATTTAATCGTAAATATATAAATAATATAACAGCCCAGTGCATACACAGATGTCTTTATTTAAGAAAACACTACACCGTTTTATACTTCCCAAAGAAATAAAAATAGTAAATCTCTTAAGTGGTTTACAACTTGTCTTAAAATGTAAAACAGAGCATTGCAAACTATCAAAACAAACCATCACAAATGAAAACAGAACTGAAAGGCCCACATTTAAAGCAGAATAATTAACAGAAAACCTCTTTTAAAAAAATTTAAACACCCTTAGAGATTTTTGAAACATGAATCAGTGCTTTCAAATAGTTCAAAGCAGAAAAACAACTTAAACCTACAAAATAGATAGCCAGATAAATAATAAAGCCACAGTGAGGCAGCATGGTATAGTGGTTAGAGATTAGGACCAGGACTTGGGAGACCAAGGTTCAAATTCTCCACTTCATCACAAAGCTCACTGGGTGACTTTGGGCCTGTCACTGCCTCTCTGCCTAACCTCCCTCACGGGAGTTTGTTGTGGGGATTAAATGAAGAGGGCAAGGAAGAATCATGTATGTCGTCTATATCATCACTTTGAGCTCTTTGGGGGGGAAAGGCAATGAATAAATGCAAAAGAGTAGAGTTTGTGTGAGGTTATTGTTTTGTTTTGTTTTGTTTTGTTTTCTTCCTGTTCTTCTTATGTATTTTGCTTTTTTATCTTGCATTTTTATGCTGCGAACAGCCCACAGATCTACCGGTGAAGCGGGGAATACAAATTTGTTAAGTAATAAATAATTAAAAATGTTGAAGCTTTTGCAGAGGCGGCTGCAAAAAACAGGACAACCAACCAACACCAACCCCCAATTAACGCCCCTCGCTTAAAAACACCTCCTCCCCTCAAAAAAAAAAATCCCCCTTAGTTAAAATAAACTTCACACCCCCTACAAAAGCTTTCAAGGGCTGTCTCTTTAAGCGCAGCTCCTCCGTTGCCAGGCGGTGCCTGTTGCCAGGCGGCGTTGATTGGCGGATCGGGGATTCCCCTCTCACACATCTCCCTCTCTCTCTCTCTCTGCAGGGAGGGCTTTCCCCTTGGCCGACACGTGGGTTTGCCAGAGCCCCAGCTGGAGGAGCGCGGGGCGGGGGCGTGTCCTGGGCTGCTTCCACCCTCCGGCCAATGAGCGGCTTCGGCGTCGGGCCAGGGGGCGGGACTGGGCGCCCATATATGGAGGTGGGCGAGGGGGCGTGACCCGGGAGTGTTGCCCCTCCCTCTCTCCCTCTCTCAGTCTTTAGGGAAGCCGCTCCCTTTGGCTCCTTCGCCTGAACTGGCGCTGATGCTGCGAGAGGAGCGGACCGCGCTGTGAACTAGGGAAATACACGCAACTTTTTTTCCCCCTTTTGGTTGGGGGGGGCGTGTCCCTCCCGGGGCTGGAGCTGCGATGACCTCCCGCAGGTAAGATCCGCTTAATCTCCTGCGGCGCGTCCGAAATGTGTGGAGTTTTGCAATTTGGGGTTTTTGTTTGCTTTCGGTGGTGGTGCGGCGTGAAGCTCGGAAACGGGGCAGCGGACAGCCTCCGTCCCCACCCCGTTCTTCCTTTGCTTCCCCACACCGCTCCGTATCTAATATTTGCAGGTAGACCGCCCCTGAACATGGAGGATTTAAAACAACCTCCTTCTTCCCCCCCCCCCCCGCAAAAAAGGTGGTGTACTTCTGCGGATGTTTTGCACTACAGCTCCCGTCAGCCCTCCGCCAGCGTGGGAGGGTGGGAATAATCCCTTAATATTTGGAGGTAGATTGCCCCTTATCATGGAGGGTCTCTTTATTTAGATCATCCTTCCCACCCACCCCAGGCTTCTCCAGATGTTTTTGGGCTACAACTCCCGTCTGCACCCCCCCTCCCAGCCAGCCAGTGTGTTTCTGAGTTTGTAAACAAGGCACAGGTCTCTACCCTCCTTTCCGCCCCACCCCCTTATCTGTTATTATTTGGAGGTAGACTCCCCCTGATCGTGGAGGGTCTCTATATTTAGCTCAACCTTCCCCCCACGTTTGCTGTTCTCTAAATGTTTCGGACTACAACTCCCGTCAGAGCCCCCAACCCGCACCAGACAGTATATGGCGAGGAGGAGGGAGAGTTGCCCTCTCTCCGACCCTCGGTATCTAATATTTGCAGATAGACTGTCCGTGAGCATGGAGGCCTGTCCTTGTCAGCCTGTGCCAAGCTGATGCGACTCCCCCCCCCCCCCCGCTTTGCAATGTTTTGGACAACAACTCCCATCAGATCTAGCCAGTACACTGTTTGCACTGCGAGGCTGTTATTTTCAGTTTCTAATTTCTTCATTCTTAGTTGTTCTGACTAGTTTACCTTTAAAATAAATTTAAAAAGCTCTGTGTCTGTGTATAAAGCAAACATTTGTAGCCAATCTACGCTGAGTAGACCCATTTAAATTAATGGACCTTGCTACTTCAGGTATGTTAATTTCAGTGGCTCTACAGTGATCAGACTTTGTTGGATTAATTAAATGGAAAGCAGCAGCAACCGCCTTTTTGTCCCGTCCCCCCTGCCTCCTGTTTGCGGTACTTGGAGGTAGACTGCTCTTATACAGGGGTGCACCATGTACCTGTTGTGTAGAATAATTTACAACAGACCTATCTTATTTGTTGTTGTTGTTGTTAACCTGCCCTTCATTCTAAGGCCCCGGAGTTGATTATATTTAAAGCATGATATTAGAAACAGTTAAAAACAACATACAATCACGGGACTAATATTTGTCTTAAAACTATACATTATCAGGTCTCGAAATCCAGGGCAAAGATGAACAATTTAGCTACTTTGGTCATTCCTGCATCATGTGGTAGGGAAGTCTTAAGTCAGACTGAATTGGGTGAAAGAGAAAAGTTTCCTTCTGCCTCATCACCAACTTCCTTTGGTCATTTCCACATTTTAATCTCTCCTTCCAACCCGCCCCAATTTTCTTCTTTTGAGCTCTGGAGGCTGGGTATTGGGTTGTTGTTTTTAATGTTACTTGAACTCTGAATCCCTCTAATGGATATCAACTGATAGTCTGCATTGTACTGTGTTGATATCAGTGTAATTTTTTCCCCTTTGTTTGCCTTGTTTAAATTAAAATCTTTAGGAAACAAAAACAAAAAAACTCTGATGGAAGACCCTTCTTTTCATTCTCCTCCTACCCCCACCCAGATTAACCTCTTTCCCCTTCTATCTTCTTTCGTGGTTATAATGCAGATAACAGGTTTTTGTGGTGCAATTTCTTTCCTTTCCCCTCTGCCTACTAAATATTTAATTCTGCAGTCAGGAGGTAAGCTCACAGCTTTGCTTTGAAAGCTGCCCTTCAGCGTGGGTGCGCCTGAGGATGTGCAGAGTGCAGAATCTGCAATTTCTGCAGTTGTGTAACTGCGATTGTGTAAATGACAGGCGCACCTCTGAGCCACTGACTTCCTAACTCACTGCTCGATAGCTATAGATTCACACACATACCTCAGTGCAAATAATCTCCAAATCAGAAAAGTGCCCTCTCGCAAGCTTTAACCCTGGAGCATAATTTTTTTAAAAAAGGATGGCTTCCTTTCGGTTTAGCAACCATGATTGCAAAGGAACATGTTTATGGTTAAAATAGTTTGGAACTGCTTGTCAGGTAGTATCTCCCCCCCCCCCGCCACTGACGTCACCCTGTTTGACCTCATGTTCCTTCTGCTCAAACCCAAAATCTCGGAACTCGGAACCCAAAAAGGAACTCGGAATTCTTGGAACCCAAAAGCCTTTTAATTGTTGTTGGTACTCTTTGGCCATTGCAACATTTGGGGAGGCCTAGACTGACGTCTGCCAAGCTTGATTAGAGGTTTGTGCTGAATGTTCTGTAACTTAAAGCTTCATTTTGCTGGGAGCGTGGTGTAATGGTTACAGCAGTCTTGGCCAACCAGGTGTTTGGGACTCTTAACCCCCATCAGCCCCACCTAGGACAGGTTAAAATGTTGGACCTAATCTCCAGGTAACACAGGTCCAAACTCCAATGAGTGACCTTGGGGCCTGTCGCTTGTCATTACCTTTGCCTACCTCGCAAAGTTGTTGTGGGAATGAGGAGGTGTGAATGCACTGAGCATGTATTCAGACTTACCCCTCAACCTAGTGCCCTCCGGATGCATTGGATTACAACTCCCATGGAGCTGATGGGAGTTGTAGCCCAAAGCATCCAGGGAGGGCGATAGGTTGGGGGATGCTGTCGTAGGAAACAGATATTGCTTGCTGAGTCACTCCAGAGGAATTTCTTATTTTAATGATCTATTTTAAAATGGGCTGTCCTGCCGGTAGGCCAGCAGGCTCTCCACGTTCTCTTAAGAATATATATATTCTGTAATCGCCCATTCCACCCCCTGCAAAAATATAAACAAGCCCTTTCTTTTATTTAAGCTAGAAAACATCCATAGCAGTGGAACTGCTATGGGGCAGCTGTCCTTGTTTGCTTAGGGTGTTCCCTGTTTCCTCTCCATCAGGGTCTTCCTTTGTTACCTTTTGAGGTGTATTATTACTATTAGTGAAGCATTTGATGCCATCCGTGAGCCCTGTATTCCACAGAGCAGGAGCAGATGGTCCCTGCCCCGAGGAGATGACAATCTATAAGGTTCTGGCACAGAGAAAACAACAAAGGGGAGGAATTTGTGGCAGGAGTAAATAGTGACTTTGTCCATAGTGGGAGCAAACAAAACAGGAACCCCAACACAGTCTGCTCCTGGACCTTCCCCCCACTTTAAATGCAGGGTTTTTCAGTACTGGTCATTTTGGACTTTCCAAGGTTTGGGGGCTGGGGGGGGTGTATTTAAAGGGAGAAAGGTCCAGGCTAACACCAGAGAGGGGAGGATGCCCTATGGGGACCCAAACATTAAAGTGCAGATGACTGATGAGAATCCACTTTTTGCTTCGGTGTGGGCTAGTCCAGGCTGTGGCTGTTTGAGAAGAAAGTGCTCAAGTTTCCGATGGGACCAGGGAGCTTGTGTGACAAGTTGTCCTGGAAGGCTGCGCCAAGCACATGGGGCAGCGAGGGAGAAAGGATGGAGTTTTTGGAGGGAGCAGGAGGCCTTGGGGTGTCTGGGGCTGTCAGAGCTACTAGCTATGGTTTGTGGTGGCCTGGTGGCTGTGTTCTACTACCTCTGTCTGAGGCAGTGCACCTCTGAATACCAGTTGCTGGGAATCGCAAACGGTTCTCGCACTCAGGTCCTGCTGTGGGGCTTCCCACTGGGGCATCCGGTGGGCCACTGGGAGGAGAGGATGCCAGACTAGATAGGCCTTTGGACCTGGTCCAGCTATAGGGCTCATTTTGGGTTCTTGCGGAAAGGGGAGGAACCTGTGTTGAACTTGAGAGCAGACAGGACATCCATGTAGTATGTTTCCCATGCTTGGGTCTCCATCATCCCTAGCTAGCAAAACCGGTGGTCAGGGATGATGGGAATTGTTGTCTGAAAACAACCGGAGACCCAAGGTTGGGAAACCCTGGTTTGGACAGGAGTAGTATAACACTGCAGATTTAAGTCCTCTTGCCTTGAGTCAGAGGCAACTGTATCTTGACTCTGGTTGCACATGCATGTTAAGTCTTGCACATGACCACAAATGCTGATGGTGCATTTTCCTTCTACTTCTGTATCTCTTTATCTGTCTACCCAGTTAGTGTGTTTTTTTTTTGTGGGGTGCATCTAACATTCTCCTTTCTCTTCTTAAATTTGTTACCCACCCTTTGCCACCAGGTACCGGGACGCGGGTGGCGCTGTGGGTTAAACCACAGAGCCTAGGGCTTGCCGATCAGAAGTTTGGCAGCTTGAATCCCCGTGACGGCGTGAGCTCCCGTTGCTCGGTCCCTGCTCCTGCCAACCTAGCAGTTCGAAAGCACGTCAAAGTGCAAGTAGATAAATAGGTACTGCTCCAGCGGGAAGGTAAACGGCGTTTCCATGTGCTGCTCTGGTTCGCCAGAAGCAGCTTAGTCATGCTGACCACATGACCCGGAAGCTGGCTCCCTTGGCCAGTAAAGCAAGATGAGCGCCGCAATCCCAGAGTCGGCCACGACTGAACCTAATGGTCAGGGGTCCCTTTACCTTTTACAAGGGTGGGTTACACCAAATTAAAATTCAGTATTAGAAACAATTAGCCCAGTCATCGGAATAGGGTAGGTCCTGAAAACAGCCATCTCTGGTATCCAAAGGTTAGCGCATGTTTGAAACTATAAAACGAAGGTGCCCCATGCACCTCTGTAGGGCAGGAATCGCACAACTTGGTCCTGCTCAGAGTAGACCCACTGAAAGTAATGGGCATGGCTAACTTAGGTGTATTAATTTTAGTTGGTCTACTCTGAGTAGGACTCGGTTGGCTACAACCCAATAAGTATTTTTCTTCCTATATACATAAAAACGCAAGGTTGTCATCAGGCGGCTGCCCTTAGGAGGACTTTTTATGGCCACATCACAGTCCTGGATTTGCATGAAGAAATGGGTTTGGGAAGGTGAAGAGTGAGCTTAGTAGTTGCATGGGGTGGGAAGGGGAAACCCTAGGAGAGTAATGTGGGGAGAGTGTCAGGTGGGTTGGTGAGCAGAGCAAGCCCCTAGTAATTGTTATATTTGTTCATTTGATTCATTGTGAGCTGTGACGGTTTTGTGGCAAAGTGGCGTGCAAATGGAACTGACAATGAGTGAACATATTTGATTGGCACATATTATGTACTAAGCAGAACCAGAATAAATATCCTAGTACACTTTTTAAAAAGGAAAAAGGATGGTGTTCTGGCAGGTTAATTAAAGCCCCTCATTTCAAAATTGAGAGTGTAAGTCAGGCTGTTTCAGAGGAATACAAGTCTGGAAAATCTGTGACCCTCCGGACGTGATTGGACTTCAACTCCCAGCAGCCAGCATGCCTAATGGTCAGAGTGTTTTGTATCCGGATTGCAATGGTAAAATATCAAAAATTGCAAGAGATTGAAAAATCAATAAAAAATCAATAAAATAACATGAAACGACGTTGTAAAAGTTTGAGCAGCAGAGAGCAAAAGAGTATGACGCGATTAACACAGCATCACTAAAATCGAAAATTCAGTGGAGAAAAGCGCACAGCTATGGAAAGCCTGTGGTATAAAAAGATCTCTTTTGATCCAAGGCTCAGAGCAGGAATATGAGGAAGGCAGTGGTGGACCTACATTTTGGGGGGCTCTGAAGCCTCATTAGTTCCACAGTAGATCTGCCTCTGGAGGACGGTCTCAGGTGAACCTCTCCAGGCTGGAGACAAATAGCACAGGTGGAATCTTGCTTTTCCAAGATGGTGGCATGTTGCTGACTGCTGTGGTAAATAGGATGCTTCAGGAGTTGTAGTTCATAACATCAGAAAGTCACCCTTTGAGCTGCCCCCGATCCACCCATATACTTCCTGGGCTTTGTTCCGTTTACATCTCATCTCATCCTTTTTGGTTCTCGAGTAGGTGGGACGGGCTCTGTCCTCGTGTGAGTGAGTCACGGCTGCATGTGCTCAATCTGTGGTGAAAGCACCTTTTTAAAAAAATAATATATGAATTGAAATCTGTTTCCCCTTGTCGTCTTCACTGGCTACTTCCTCCTCCACAGAGAGAGAGAGCTGACTTGACGGAAAAGAGGCAGGCCAAACTGTTTCCATAGAAGGTGAAGGAGCAAGGAAAAAGAGGTGGTAGAAAAGTTCGATGCGTTGTTTTTCTTGAAAGTTTCTGGCAGCTGATTCATCAGTGCTTTGGTTGTGGGGAAAAAGCATTGCCCTCTAATGGGGAAGAACCTCAGCTCAGTGGCGGAGCATGTGCTTTGAGTGTAGAAGATCCCAGGTTCAGTCCCTGGCATGTTCAGGTAAGGCTGGGAAGGTCCCCTCTTTAAAATGCTGGAGAACGTTGGCTAGTCGGTGTAGACCAGCCTTTCTCAACCTTGGGTTCCCAGATGTTGGAGAACTACAACTCCCATCATTCATAGCCAGCAGAGGCAGCAGACCCCACCACTGATCCAATGGAGTCTCTAGGTTCAGAGGCTGTATGTCATGGGAATCGACCATCGTAAGAAGAACCTGCTGGTTCATGCCAGGGTCTCATCTAGCCAACGTCTTCTCCTCATAGTAGCTGGGGCCGGACCAATATATTTTGCTGCCTGAGGCAAAGGAGAAGATGGTGCCTCTCCTCACCTTCAGCCTAATCCATGTGTGCAAGCTGATCAAACTGAACTTTACATGAAGATTGGTGGTGTCCTCTATGGCAGCCGAGGGCAGCAGGCTTGCTTAGGGAACCCCAGTCCCAACCTCTCAGCAATTGCAGCCTGAGGCGCCTGCTGATCACTTTGCCTAATGGTAGGGCCAGCCCCAAGAATAGCCAGCAGCTTGATGCTGCAGCAAGGTTGCTCCAACTTCCACAGCACCACCATTGGGAATCCCAACGCTTCGGGTGCGTCTCTTCTGACAGCAGTGAGCGAGAAAGACAGAGAGAGCAGCATTCTGCTCCATAACACACTCTGGCTTGCTCAAGAGGTCAGCTAAGAATAGCCCCCCCTCCTGCTCTCACGCTCCCCCCCCCCCCGCCGCCGGAGATTAAGAGCCTTGTGGCGTGATGAGATGAACACATGCGGGGAGCCACGGATTTGCATGCCTTGTGGGCTGTTACTGGATCCTGGATGCCCTCTGCGTGACGTTCCTCGAAAGGAGAGGCAGGGCACCCTGAGCGTTACTCAGCACCCTCCCACTCCCCCCACCTCCTACTGACTCAGGACGGGGGGGGGGGCACCTGCCCTTGAGAGAGAGAGACGAGGCCTTGGAGGAAACCTGTGCTGTATAAAGCTTCTTTGCCCGGATGGGTTTATTCCAGACCCTCCAGGTGTCCCTGTTTTCCAGGGACAGCTCCAGATTTACAGAAGCCATCCCAGTTTCTGACTGGATCCCGGAATGTCCTGCTTTTCCTTTGGAAGTCCCTGTTTCCATTGGAGAAATGTTGGAGGGTATGTCCCAGTGCGATCTGGCTCAAGGATCTAAATAAATAATAAAAAATATTAATAAATAACAATTAACACATTACAGTGGTACCTCAGGTTAAGAACTTAATTCGTTCCGGAGGTCCGTTCTTAACCTGAAACTGTTCTTAACATGAGGTACCACTTCAGCGAATGGGGCCTCCCGCTGCCACCGCGCCACTGCTGCACAATTTCTGTTCTCGTCCTGAAGCAAAGTTCTTAACCCGATGTACTATTTCTGGGTTAGTGGAGTCTGTAACCTGAAGCGTCTGTAACCCAAGGTAAGGTAATGGGACCCCTGACCGTTAGGTCCAGTCGTGGCCGACTCTGGGGTTGCAGCGCTCATCTTGCTTTACTGGCCGAGGGAGCCGATGTACAGCTTCCGGGTCATGTGGCCAGCATGACTAAGCCACTTCTGCCGAACCAGACCAGTGCATGGAGGTACCACTGTATTAATGGCAAGTAAAATGTATAGCAGTTGTTTTTAATGAGTTCTGCGCAATTTTACACATATTTCACTTGCCAAGCAAAACTAAATCCTATTAATTTAACCCAAATGTCTTTTGAATTCTCATGTCATGTTGCAACTAGTTAGCACCCCTCATTTTGGGAAGTTGAAAAATTCAACGTGCGCTATTGCCCTACCAGCAAAACGGCCGCAGGTTGAAGCAGGTAAACTAGGTATATATTTGCAGAAAGGCGAGCTGACAAATATATTTGGCTCCTGGGCCTGAGGTTCCTCACTATTCCCCTAAACCCCAGTTCCTGTGAGCTGGATCTCATTCATTCCTTCTTGCGCAGCACCCGGAGGGGAGTGGCAAACTGATTCACTCTGGATCACGCTGGAAGTGTTGCAAAACAGCAGCAGGAGCAGGCTGTGCGACTCAAGGCAAGCAGCAAAAGTGTCTCGCGCTTTTCCGGGCTTCCCTGCCTCCAGGGTGAAGCAAGGAGGTGGAAGGCAAAAGAGGGAATTGGGGTGGAGCAACAGGAGCTCGTTAAATCAGAGGGATTTCATTGTTATTCACTGTCATTTTCCAAGCAAGCTTTGAGCTGCCTCTCTTTGAACAGCCAGAAAGAACTCTGGAGCCAAAGGCTTGTGCTGGGCAGAAAACTCGAGGGTTTTGGGCCTTGGCAGGTGACACTCAGGAAATCCTGACACCTTGCAGGAAGGCCCTTTTGCGTGCGTCACAAGCCGAGCACCTCACAGTCTGAATGTTGGAGGAGTCGGGACAGATAAGAGAAAGTGCTTCCTCACATGGCACATACCGTATTTTTTGCTCTATAAGACTCACTTTTTCTCTCCTAAAAAGTAAGGGGGAATGTGTGTGCGTCTTATGGAGTGAATGCAGGCTGTGCAACTATCACAGAAGCCAGAACAGCAAGAGGGATTGCTGTTTTCACTGTGCAGCGATCCCTCTTGCTGTTCTGGCTTCTGAGATTCAGAATATTTTTTTTCTTGTTTTCCTCCTCCAAAAACTAGGTGCGTCTTGTGGTCTGGTGCGTATTATCGAACGAAAAATATGGTAGTTAAACTATGGAACTCTCTCCTGCAGGATGGCCACTGACTCAGATGGCTTGAAAAGAGGATTGGACAAATTCATGGGGGGAAATAAGGCTTTTGATAAGCACGATGGCTCAGCTCTGCCACCATGGTTGGAAGCAGCAATGCTTCTGAATACCAGTTGCTGGAAATGACAGGAGGGGAGAGGACTCTCTTGTGCTCAGGTCCTGACTCTTTGTGTTGTTTTCTTGGTCAGTATTGTAACACAGAAGGGCTGTAGCCAAGTGGTGGGTCATCTGCTCTGCATGCAGAAGGCCCCAGGTTCAGTCCCTGGCATCTCCAGGTAGGACTGGGAAGGTCCCCTGCCTGAAACCCTGGAGACCTGTTGCTGTCAGCCAGTGTAGATGACACTGAGCTAATGGTCTGATGGTTTTCCCAGTAGTGATGTATGGAAGTGAGAGCTGGACCATCAAGAAGGCTGATTGCTGAAGAATTGATGCTTTTGAATTATGGTGCTGGAGGAGACTCTTGAGAGTCCCATGGACTGCAAGAAGATCAAACCTATCCATTCTGAAGGAAATCAGCCCTGAGTGCTCACTGGAAGGACAGATCCTGAAGCTGAGGCTCCAATACTGGCCACCTCATGAGAAGAAGACTCCTGGAAAAGACCCTGATGTTGGGAAAGATGGAGGGCACAAGGAGAAGGGGACGACAGAGGACGAGATGGTTGGACAGTGTTCTCGAAGCAACCAGCATGAGTTTGACCAAACTGCGGGAGGCAGTGGAAGACAGGAGTGCCTGGTGTGCTCTGGTCCATGGGGTCACGAAGAGTCAGACACGACTAAACGACTAAACAACAACAACAAAAATGGTCTGATGCAGGATAAGGCAGCTTCTCCTGGGCACAGTGTCTGCTTCCTAACACAGTACAGCACATTCAGCTTCTGGCAAGGTGGCCAGGGGCAGAGAGACATGTGACACTGGATTGTAGCGGCCCAAACATATGTTATGTTCTGATTTTCTCTTTTCGTCTGGTGCAGCAGCTAGTGGCAGGAGCAGTGTGAGAACGTGCTGGTTCGACAGCAGTATCTGGGATGGTTTGGCACTAGTTCTTCACAAGGACCTGCTACTGGGGCCAGGCAGAGCCCACATTGCAAACAAAACCGGGCTGTTCAGAGTGAAAGGGAGCAGGATTGAATCCTGGCCAGCTGGTGAACGGAGGAGGGCCTGCTTTCTGCAGAGGTCTGCTTTACGTCTGCCTTCCCCGCCCCCAACCCTCCAGGAATGCACACTGGAAGCAGACCCCAGCAGGACCACGCTGTCCGCTCAACAGTGTTGGCTGGAGAGGACTGCTTTGCCAGGAGAGTTCAATCCTGCTGGCTGCAAGGGGTCTACATCACCAGTGCATTCCCAGCTGGGTAATTCCTAGGGGAAGCAGACCCCTGCAGCTAACAGGATTCCACTCCCCCCCCCCCAGCTGGTGAGTGGAAGGATCAGTCCTGCTGTCTGTAGTGTGGTTGAGAGGAGGAAGGGTCTCTCACCCCCCCCCGCCCAGCTCCTGACTGTATGCTTAATAGGCATTTAAAACCCTAACTAAACATTAGGACTCCCCCTCCCAATTGATTCAGGGCCTACAGCTGAGTTGGCCTGGGGCCAATCCAAACCCCTGCATAAGGCCCTGCATGGGGGCTGGGTGTATGTGCTTGTAGCCCTACTTGTTACTGGTAGGAAAGTGGTGGCCACGCCTTTATTACTGGTTTTTAAGCAAGAATTTTGTAGTTGTGGAGTTTCTGCAGCGGGTTGCACCAGATGACCTCTGGAGAGACCCAATTTTATGAATCGGGAGCCTGATCTATGTGGTTGTGCTGGTGGCAAAGTGTGATGGGTTATGGCTCTGTCTGTGGTTTGCCTTTTTCTTTTGCGGGGAGATGGGCTGAACCCACAAGTGAGGCTTGGTCTGCATGTTTCCTCCTGCACCTTGTCTCTCCCCCCGCCCCCCCGGTGGCTCGTGTCCAGGAAATGTGTCTAGGATGGTTGTTTAATCAGGCGGCTGGGCTTGTCCGCTCTGTGGGCTTCCTGCCCTCGGGTCTGAAGGGAAGATCGGAAACTCTGCTGCTTTAAAACAGGACTGGTAATCCGGAAATGGAGAATTTCCTGGATGTGTGTATCTCCCCCCTCCCACTTTTGTGTAAAATAGTGGCATTTAATGGCTTTACATTTTACCAGCTATAACGGTTGGAGGGAGAGAGGAAGCAGCGAGGCCAAGTTCCTGCTGATTTGCTAAAGCAATCTCTTATTTATTTACAAAACAAATTAGATGCCTTTTCCCCAAAGATCCAGGGAATGTGGAGCAAGCCATTAGAGCAATGTGCACGTTTTTTAAAAACCCTTTTATCATTCTTCAGTAGGAAGCTTGAGTTCTTTGTGCATAGAACCTCACAATGCATTGTCTGCTATATAATAGCAAGGCATGATACCAACGCGTTGAAAAAGCCAAGATCAGGTGGTATTGGTATTCTGATTACAGTGCCATCACGCCTTAAGAGTTGCATAGGTCTCTGCACCCAAGGATCATGCAATTGACAGGCGGAACAATGAGCAGAGCGCAGGACCAAAGGTCCTAATTAAAAGCAGGTGAATCTGTGCAGGGTTTTGCAGGTCCACCGTAACGAACGGTAAATGCGACAATGGGTTGCAGCACACAGTTAATTTTCCCCAGATATTATATTCCGTTTTCCCTCCTGGTTTTCCGTCCTCTCTCCGCACACCAGCTGGTCAGCTTTCTGTGGCTACTGAGCATGCTCAGTCCTCATTGGGCTCTTTTTCCAAAGTATTCTGCCCCGCCCAACGAAACTGGGTGTCCCCCTTCCCCCCCAAACACATTTTGTACTTTTGCAAACATTGAGTTCTCCCATGTTTGCTGATAACCTCCGCTCCCCTTTGTAGTTTGGGTAGGACTTTCACCTGGAGAACATGTCTGTATACAACGACCACTGCAGCTGTTCTAGAATTCGAGTCGGGAAGTTCCTACAGCCCACCTAGAGTTAGCAAACAGGGATCTTGTATGTCTTGCAGTAGAAATGTTTTCTGAGTTGTTGTTGGGGGTTTTCTTTTTGTGTGTGTGTGGGGGGGGGAGTTATTCTTGCAGTCTCTGCAAAAGGTAGCCAGTTCTGGTTTCTGCGGAGTCCCTATTCCAAGTGCAGGGCTGTATCTGCTCAGCTAAGGTAACACTTGGCATAGACCCATTGAAATGAATGGACCTAAGTTAGTCATGTCTGTTCACTTCAGTGGGTCTACAGTGAGTAGGGCTGGCATTGAGTACAACCTGCAATATTAATACAGGTCTCATTATCCTCTCTGTGTTATAAGAATATATATAAGAACCTGGGGCCTTCCAGATGCCACTCCACACCGCTCTGATGAGTGACTAGTTTGGGGTTATTCCTGGAAAGTGTCACTGGAGACCAAAGCATCCTCTCTGCCTTTTACCAGCTTCATCTGGTTCTCCAGCTAGGGTCGTTCCTGGGCAGGGATAGCATTCCCTCCAACATTTCTCCGGTGAAAATAGGGATGTCCTATTCAATACTGTGCGGCTTCCAACATACATAAAAACATAATAAAATATTAACCATTTTTAAAACTTGCCTAAAAACTTGTCTTCTAAAGGTTGTAGAGTTACTTATCTCCTTGGTTTGGGGCGGGGGTGTCACATAACTCCATACCCTCCAACATTTCGCCGATGAAAATAGGGATGTCCTAAGGAAAAGCGGGACATTCCGGGATCAAATCAGAAACCGGGACAGTTTCTGTAAATCTGAGAATTTCCCTGGAAAGACACTTGAAGTGTCTGGGAAAGCCTGACCACTATGGTCCATGCACTGGTGACCTCGAGGCTGGATTGCTGCAATGCACTCTGTGTGGGGCTTCCCTTGGCCTTGGTTTGGAAGCTGTGGCTGGTGCAGGATGCAGCTCCCAGACTGCTGGTGGGGGCAGGCATCTGACTGAATACATTGTTAAAGCTGCATTGGCTACCCATCTACCAGGTTCGAGACCCTTGAATTAACTGACAAAGCCTTAAGCAATTTAAGTCTAGAGCATCCTTAGGGACCACCTGATCCTAACTCAATCCTTGAGAGAGCACCTACAGGAGCATCACTGGTCGTCTCCACAAGTTGGCGGGGCTCATTTGATATCAACACAAAACTGAGCATTTAGTGTCATCCACCCAGTTTTGTGGAATAGGCTGCTGACAGATGTTCAGCAGGCGCTTTCTGTTTCAACTCTGAAATGCGTGCTGAAAACTTTTCTACACTGTCAGGCTTATGCAGGTGATTAAAAGTGCACCTTTCCGTAACAGTTAATCTCCACTTTTTATTTTTGTTTTTTTAAAAATATTTTTATTAGCAATTACAACATAACAACTTATCAAAACATATCATATTCATTATTTTCCCCCTCCCCCACCCCTCAAACTCTCCCTCCCCTCCCCCAGAGACTTCCCTCAGCTCCTCTCTCTGATTTCTCAACACATATTATTCTCTGCATGTTATAAAATTATGCAAATCTTTACATTATCTATCTACCATGTTATCAATCAATAAATTTGTGTATGTTTATTTAAAATAATCTCCACTTTTTAAATACACCTACCTGGTTTTTATGGTGCGGTTTTGCATACGACTCTTGTGAACTGGTCTGGGTTTGTTTTATGAATGCACATATATTTTTATACATAAATAAATTGGCCGTCCTGTTTGGGGCTGATGTAACCCCTACAAAATACACAGAGTGTTAAAATAAGTTAAATATAAACCATTCAACTGTGCTCCAGACGCTTGGGTTGCTTGAGAGGGCTTTGATGTGTTGCAGGGGACTAGATCATCCTTTGGGTCTCTACACTCCTATGCTGACCTTTGCTGGCTGGTGGCTGCTGTTTAGAGTTCCTTCTGCCTGTCTTCAGGCACGGGAGCGAAGTTGGGTTAAAAGGGCGGGGCGTTTGTGAAGTGTGTTTGCTGGGTTGCCTGAACACAGTCACGGGCATTTAATCCCGTCCGGGACATTGCAGGGGGTGACCTGCTAATCTCTGATATTCTTAATATAGGAAAGTCTGCTCTTAAATAAACCCAGGGTTGCTATATCCAGCAGCAGGGGAGCTAAATATAAAGGAAGATTCTCCCTCGCTCCTTTCACCAGCTCTGGTTCCCCTTAGTAGCCTTGGTAAACAGAGGCTAAACAAGGGAAAGCAGTCATCCCCGGAGGCAAGCTTGATCCCTCTGTGCAGGATGCTAAGCCTCAGGGAGGAACAAGGGTGATGCTCTGACCCCTCCTGTCTTGGGAGCTGGGCAGTGGCCAATTTGAATGGGAAAAAACCCACACTGTTAGCCCGAACAAAACCCCTCTGTCTTTCAAGCTTGTTGATAGGAACAAATAAAGGGACATAGGAAGGAACCTGCTTTAGACTGAGTCAGACGGTTGCTCCCTTTAGCTCCATATTGTCTACACTGGCTGGCAGAAGCTCTCTGGGGTTTTAGGTGCTTCTGAGCTACCACTTTGACACTTTCCTACTCAGGTAGGAAGCTGCTTCCTATCAAGGGTTGGCCCATTTAGCTTAGTATTGTCTACCCTGACTGGCAGCTGCTCTCCAGGGTTTTGAGATAGCAATGTGCCCCAGCCCTGCTTGGAGAGGCTGGGGATTGAACCGGGGACCTTCTGCATACGAAGCAGATGGTCTGCCGCTGAGCTACGGCCTTCCCTTCCCACCCGTGCCCAGGCATAGGGCGGCTGAGTGTTGATAGGCTTTTTGTAACGTGTCTTGATTTGTTTAGCTCCCAGGCAAAATGGCTCCCTGCAAACTCTCTATCCTGTTTGCAGGTGACAAAATAGGAGCTGGTGAGGGGGTTGCATATTGCAGAATATTCTCTGAAAGGTTTTGTAGTAGAAAGATCTCTCCTGAGAAATGTTGGCTGGGCATGATGCTTGGAAAGTTGCTGCCAGCCTGTGTACGCAACACTAAGCTAGGTGTTCTAATGGTTTGACTCTGCACGATGCAGCTGCTGCTGATGTTGCTGTGTTTGGGGGAAGAGTCATAACTCAGTAGTAGAACATCTGCCTTGCGTGCAGAAGGCCGCAGGTTCAACTCCCAGCATCTCCAGGTAAGGCTGCGAAAGGTCTCAGTCTGGAACCCTGGAGAGCTGCTGCCCGTCGGTGTGCTCTGACTTGGTCTAAGGCAGCTTCCTATGTTGGGAGCTGGTTCTTTTCTCCTGGCATTCACGTCTTTCTGAATCTCCTGCTGCTGAGTCTCACTGAGCTGTATAATTTGCATAATTTGAAGGGACCTCAAGAGTCATCTAGTCCAACCCTGCAATGCAGGAATCGCAGCTAAATGACCCCTGATTCAAATAATATGAACTTGTGGGCAATAGGGAGCAGGTCATCAACTAGCAGTGGACTCTGTTAGGTAGCTTCTGCATGAACGCCAGGAATATATATATGGCATTTCCAAAATGCAAAAAATAGGGTGGCATGATTATTTGGTGAGAATGGCTGGAAAATATCAACAATGGGAATGCATGAGTGAAAACTGGTGTGTTTTCTTTTTTAAAAAGAAGTTATTATAGAGAGGCATTGAAAGGTGCCATTAACCTAATTTTGTCAGTGATCAAAAAACCACAACACGTTTATTAGAAACGTTTGTGTCTGGGCTGCCTGCCAGAGGTGGTTTTTTTTAAAAAAAAAAACTGGAACCAAATGCTCATAATAATAACCTCTGACTTGCGCTTAGCAAAACCCACTAGGCTTGGGCGCATAAACTTCTCGTTGAAAAAGGGAGAAAATGTCTCTGCCTTGAGCTTAACATTTGAGCCTCAGAAGCAAAGTCATTAGCATCTCCCTTAATTAGCCAGGCTGGTGTTTTGTTACGGTTAGTGAGCAAAACAGCAAGAACTCTCGGCTGTGGGCAAGGGACCGTCCTCCTAGTGATTTAATAAGATTCCCACTGGATCGTCTAGGGGTAAAAGGCAACCCACAAATTCATTGCATCTTTCCAAAAACGAGAAGTCAGCAGGTTTGGACGTAGGAGTATTTTATGAGTGAATGAGCACGCGTTCGCGCTTGGTCTTCGCCAGAAGGCAAAAGAAAGCAAAGTGTACAAATAAAGCTGAAGCAACACTCTGCCAAAATGATCTCCAGAGTTATTCAGCAGGTGAAGCGGTCTGGTGTAGTGGTTAGAGTGTCAGACTAGGACCTGGGTGAGACCAGGATTCAAATCCTCCACTAAGCTATGAAGCTCACTGGGGGTGTGACTTTGGGCCAATTGCTGCCTCTCAGCCTAACCTGCCTCGCAGGGTTGTTGTGGAGATTAAATGAGGAGCGGGGAGAACCATGGCTGCCCTCTTGAGCTCCTTGGGGCATGGAGGGGGGGAGATATAACTGCAATAAAATATTACGAGGCGGCCTGTCTCTCCTGGGTCAGGGAATGGTGTATATTACAAAATACTGACCTTCAGGACTTAGAAGGATATGACAACCGTTATGGCTGGCAAGCCTACTTAGGTTACGATAAAGTCAAGATCTATAAAAACTTTCCAAATCACATTATAAGGCAATCTCTCTATATGGTTTGGGCAAAATACAATGATTTGCTCAAACCTAAAACTCCATGGTGGATATCCCCGCTTGAAGCATTAGCAGTAAAGAAAAAAGTACGAAAGGGAATTGGCCAATAAAATAAATGAAATAAAATATCATTCTTGACAGCAGAGTACACCTAATGCAGAAATAAACTAGTGGATTGATCCATCTCCTGGGCTAAGGTACCCTGATTCCCCCCCCTCCCAAACGATATCCCAAATAACTGTCAGTAGCAATCTTGCTGCTTGGAAGTCCTGGGAGGTGTTCTGTATTGACATCGTCCTTTCCTAAGCAAGCAAACCAGCTTACTTATTAGGATTTGAATATAAGAAACTGAGTGGGTGGGTGGATTCTCTTTTTCCCTTCTGAGCCTTTTTGTATCTAAAAGTTCCATTTAAAAAATAAACGCCGTTATATCTTCAAGGATGGAAATTAGCCTTGTCACAATCTATATTTCTGACTGGTCATCATGCCCTGGCTACAAAAAACAGACCTTGATCTGGAATTGGCTGGTACAGGGTGTCTTATCTAAAAACCCTGGGAGGCTTGTGATAAACCTGAGCAATGGTGTGTGTGTGTGTGTGTGTGTGTGTGTAGGGGATAGCAATAGTTGTCGCTCCTTTATCCTAACTGCCTCGCCAGTGTAAATATTAAGGTTTTTAAATGTGTCTTCATTACTAAGCCTGTAACGTTTGGTGGTAGTTGTTTTCAATTTGTTTATTTTATTTATTTTATTTTAGGGGGCGGGGAAACCTCTGTTTGAAGAATGTACTCACTACCCAGCATAGGAGCCAACTCCTAGGGGCTGAAGGGTCTTTGTCCTCCAATAAAATATTTGAGGGGGCATCGCCATTTTTGATGGGCATCGCCATTTAAATGGTGTGTGTTCACCACATCCTGTGATCATATACCTGCCCCCCCCCCATATTTTGCTCTCTAGCTCCATCTGGTGTTGCACAAAGTAGTTAAAATGCTGTTTTTTGACTAATGTAGCTGAGTCCTAAGTTTGACTAGGAGTAGACTTGTTGAAATTAATGGCTCTAACTTAGGAAGTCAAGGTGGTTCTACCCCACAACACGTTCCTCCTCACAACGAACCTGTGATGTAGGTTAGCTTGAGAGACTGTGACCAGCCCAAGGTCACGCCTGGCAAGCGTCATGGCTGAGCAGGTCTCTCAGGTCCTAATCCTGGCTCTCTTACTCGATGGAGGTCATTTTGGCCTGAAGGGTGTTCAAAGAACCCTTTCTGCCTTTCATTCTGCAACACAACTCTGATGTCACAAACCCACCTGGTTCCGACTCAACCGAGTCTGTTCACCGCTGGACTGAGGGGGAAAGGCTGTTGTGAGGGGCTTCACTGCTTCAGGCATTCGCACGGAGTGGCGTCCTGTTGTAGCCCTGGAGAATACTTTTAACCAGATTTTATTTCCCACCTCTTAAATCTTGCTTCATGAGGTAAGGTGTGCCTTTTCGAACCAGCGTCTTCTGGAGGAACGGTTCTCGTTTTTGTCAAGGCTGCAGAAGCTGATGTGTGAGGTGATTCTTTCTAGTTACCGTATTTTTCCGTCTATAAGGTGCCCCCATGTATAAGATGACTCCTATTTTGGGGGACTCCAATTTAAGAAAATGGGGGGGGGAGATCTATCCGTGTATAAGATGCCCCCAAATTTTGAACATTATTTTTTAGGGGGGAAACCTGGTTTTATACATGGAAAAATATGGTAAACTGTGAAATTTGCTGCCTCAAAAGGGAGTGACAGCTACCATCTTGGATGACTTAAAAAGAGGATTAGAGAAATTTGTGGAGGATATAAGACTGGGTTCCGCCTCCGCAGTCACGTACCCTCCAAAATTTATTTGATGATAATAAGGGCATCCTATTCAATAATAATAATAATATTAATAATACCCCAGCTTTATACTATTTATTGCCCCAGCCACTCTGGGTGGTTTCCAACATACATAAAAACCTAATAAAATATTAAACATTAATACAGGACTGCCTTCAGATGGCCTGGTGGGTTGGATAACTCCATACCCTCCAACATTTCTCTGATGAATATAGGGACGTCCTAAGGAAAAGTGAGACATTCCAGGATCAAACCAGAAACTAGGATGGCTTCTGCAAATCCAGGGCTGTCCCTGGAAAATAGGGACACTTGGAGGCAGGGTGCCTCTGAATAGCAGTCCTGGGCATCACAAGTAGGGAGAGTTGCTCTTGAGCTCAGGCCCTTCTTTTGGGCTTCCCCTTTGGAGCATCTGGTTGGGCACTGGACTTAGAAGCATCTTTGGCCTGATCCTGCGGCAGGGCTCTAGTTTGGGCCTTATGGGCACTTGAGAAAACAACAACTTCCGCTCAGCAATATCAGGAAAAGAATTCTGTTCCGCGCCTGTGGCGCAAAGCAAAACTACTCTGTGCATGCTCAGTTATTCTCACTAAAAAGCATGTGCCGATTCTGCTTAAGTGGGGAGGTGTTGCAAACTGGGTCTTCTCTATCAGGGTTTTCAGAGTCAGCTGTCCTAACCAAGTCACAGATGCTCTACAACGACCTTTATCCCCAGACACAGGAATATTGGAAGGTGCCTTTACAACAGAGTCAGTCCCTTTGGTCCCCTTAACTCAGCGTTGTCTACTGACAGGCAGCAGGTCTTTGTGGTTTCAGGCAGGTGTCCCTCTTAGCTGTACCTGGAGACACCATCAGGAATGGAGCCTGGGAACCTCTGCGCACCAAGCAGATGCTCTTAACCGCTGAGCTGTGTTCATTTCTACCCCGCTCTTAACATGAACACCCTTCTCCTTCTGCCCGCCCCCCCCCCCAGCTGTGTTGGAAGGAAATGTTTGACTGGGTAGATCCTGTCTTTCTCTCTCTCTCTCTCAAAAAAGAAAAAAAAAGTCATTTTAGCGGCAGCTGGACTCGTGCTGATAAGAAAAGACTTGGTTTCCTTCATCCTCTCCACCCACTCTTTCCCTTTCAGTATACGTGTCTGTTCTCCTCTACCCCACAAAATTAATCACCTGCAACTCGACTGAAAAACATGTGTGTCAGCCTGGGCACCCCAAGCCCTCTCTGAAGGGCGAATCGGTGTACGCTGCCAACTTTTCTTTCTTTTCAGTGCTCCTCCGTGTATTATTTCGCACCCGGCGTGTGTGCTTTTATAGAATAATGTTAGTAAGCAGCAGCTGTGAGGTCTCTGCTCCCCCCTTCTGATCGTGGTGTGAGCCAGCCAGGCCCTTTTTTCAAGTTACTCTGTTCTATCCTTCTTCCCCATTATCCATTCCGCCCATGCAAGACCAGCCAGCACTGTATGCTACTGAGCATGCTCGGACCTGGGTACTTTTTGGGTGTGTGTGTGTTATTTTCTTAAGACTTGCTGCGCTTCTGCAAAACTTGGGGTACCCTTCGCTCCTGCTGATGCCTCCTTCTTGAGTGGTTCTGTCTGTGCTTCACCAGGTTCCATGCTTAGAGAATAATTAATATAATTTTGTACTAAATATGCAGGATTTCTCCCTTATTCCGCTCTCTCCCTGCCATTTTTAGGGAGAGGAAAAGAACTCTCTCGCAGGGTTTACCGCTATACAAAGGTAGGAAAAACACTGTAAAAGGCCAAATTCCTGGCACAAGGCACTCATCACAGAGGTGGCTTTCTCTCCCCCCCACCCCCGTTTTGGTAGGAGTTCTAAATTTAGCATCCCGTCAGGGAAACCTCAATGACAGATTTACACGCTGTAGTGTCTGTCACTAGCTGCAGTGTCACATCCCAGGACGATGGAGACGCTTTTCTTCAGGACGGAAGCCAGACAGTCCACATCAACCAAACGGATCCCGTTTGGTGGGAGGGAAGGGTGTGTGTGTGTGTGTGTGTTAGGAATGAACAAACAATGGGTTGTAGCCAACTAACATTAACTTAGAGTGAAACCAATGAAATGGGTGGACAGGACTCACTTAGGCCTATTCATTTCAGTGGGCCTACTCGGAGTAAAAATGCAAGCCAAACATCTGAGAATCAGGATTACGGGATGCCCAAAGGCCATCTAGTCCGACCCCCTGCAATCAAAGCTAAAGAATCCCTGACAGATGTTCTTCCAGCTTCAAACAGTTGTGTTTGCGACCCATGACTGTTTTTTGAGGCCTGAAAATTAGGTCTCCATGCCTCCCCACCAAATCATCTGTCAGAGGCAGCTCCAAGCTAAAGCAGGTTAGACGACGTACTTGGCCACTGAGCCTAGTATTTTCCTCTCTGGCTCGCAAAATCTCCCTAGAGTCACAGGCAGAGAAGTCATATTTTTTCCCAATTCCATGTTAGCTTGACCCTTTCAGCTGCAAATGTTGGATGTTGACCCTGGGACCTTCTAACATGCCAGGCAGGTGCTCTAGCACTGAGCAACGACCTTTCCCTTAAGACATGGGAACAAAGGAAACTGTTTTGTACTGAGTCAGACCATTAGGTCCACCTAACGCAGCACCGTCGGGCGTGGGGAACCTTTGGCCCCTCCACATGTATTTGGACTACAGCTCCCATCATCCCTCTCTCTTAGCCATGTGGCTGGTGTCCAGCAACATTTGGAGGGGGCCACATAGGGATTTTAACTTTGAGTTGAAATCCCATCCCATCATACCGTTATGCCTGTCTCATTAGCAGCAAACAAAGCCACACCCATGAGATCCAGGGGCATGTTTAGTTAAGGCTAAAATAGTTTTGACACATGGGATTTAAGGTTCTGAAGATTCTGTGTTCCCTACTCTCTAGATCAGCCTCTGCTAACCAGGCGCTTCCCACCCCTGGCACGCTGGCTGGGACTGATGGGAGTTATAGGGCACCGGGTGCAGAACGCAGGAAGTTGCCGAGTCAGGTCATTGTTCCTTCTAGCTCAGTATTGCTGGTGCTGGCTGGGCTTTGCAAGATTTTGGGCAAGCTGTTTTTACCAGCCCTTGGGGACTGGGAAATGCCGTTGGGGACTGAACCTAGCACATTCCGCTTGTGCAGCAAGGTTCCCCACTGGGCCTAATCCAGACCAATCAAGTGTGCCACGCTATTTCCCAGCATGCCTTTTGCTTTGGCACTCTGATTTATGAGGAGATAATACTAAACCACAGAGCCCAGGGCTTGCCGATCAGAAGGTCGGCAGTTCGAATCCCCGCGACGGGGAGAGCTCCCATTGCTCGGTCCCCGCTCCTGCCAACCTAGCAGTTCGAAAGCACGTCAAAGTGCAAGTAGATAACTAGGTACCGCTCCGTCGGGAAGGTGAACGGTGTTTCCTTGCGCTGCTCTGGCTCGCCAGAAGTGGCTTAGTCATGCTGGCCACATGACCCGGAAGCTGTACGCCGGCTCCCTCGGCCAATAAAGCGAGATGAGCACCGCAACCCCAGAGTCGTCCGCAACTGGACCTAATGGTCAGGAGTCCCTTTACATTTACCTTTAATACTTCTGTTGCTCTGTGCTCTAAATGGTTTCAGTTGAGATTCCTGCATTGCAAGGGGTTGGACTAGATAACCCATTGAGGTGCCTTCCAACTTCACGATTCTGTGACCAGGATTGTACACCAGCCTGTTCTGCATGTAGCCACCTTCTGAAGTTCAAAACTTGTGGGAAAGTTTCCTGTCTCTCCACCGTTCCGCCCCCGCTTTCCTTCTAATTTCACTCCCCTCCCCCTTCCCAGTTAACTCTGGAGGGGCTCGGAATTAGAGCAGAAACATTATTATGATTATGATTATGATTTCTTAGAAATGGTTTCCCTTCCTCCAGAAATGTCAAAACAAGGGGGCTCATCCGGACAGCTCCATTTGCAAGGACCACCTAGCTTTTATGTTTGCCGATAAACCATACGGAAAATGTGGAGGCGAGAGAATGATAATGCCTCTTGTAAACAATCTGAATGGCCGAGGAAAGAACTTGGCCTTTAGAACTATGTAAGCTTTTTAAAACAAAAAACAAAAACAAAACAAGAAGGAGAAATTGGCATGAGAGTGAGTCAGTTTGATTTGGGACTAAGGACAGCTGCAAGTCTACCCCAAGCATACGAGATTGCATTCTGGCTGAAATAGGTACCCACCCTGGTCACAAACATTCTGAACAAAACATATCCTGAAACAGCAACTTGCAGAACTGTAGATCTGAGCCATTTGTCTAAGGAAATACTGTAATGGAAGGAGCTTGCACTAGAGTTTACCTTCAGGCCTTCTTGTTTCTTTCAAAGCAAGGGCAAGGACAAAGAGCATCTGGGAAATTAATGAGGCAACAATAAGGCTTTCAAGTTTGCTTGCGGCAGATTTAGGATAGGTGAAGTTGGGGAATTTGGCAAAGAATCAAGCGGAGGCTGGGTACTTCTTTCCTTTCTTTTGATGGGGTCCCTGCTTCATGCTAGCCAGTATAGACAGCAGCACTTCTTTGCATGATTGCCTGCCTTTCTCTCTGAAAGCCAAAGGTTGGGTTTCAGCTGGCAGAGGAGCTTTTGTGAAAGCTCAAATGTGTTCTGCAAGTTGAACCTAGGCAGCCAGCAGGAAACATATTGTAGAGTCCAATGGAGCTTACTCCTAGGCAGCTATAGATAAGACTGAAGTTATGCTGATCCAAGTAAATTGCCTATTGTGCATTGCTGCTGAGTACTATACTCTGCCCATGTTTGCTCCTGGTCCCACCTACCGCTAACATGTGGTCCTTGGAATATTGCCCAGAAGGAAATGTGGCCCTCAGGCTGGAAAAAGGTCCCCAGACCCAGCTATAAATCCCCTGCTCAGGAGCATCCAGAAATACCCGACTGACCACTCTTGGAAGCAGTGAACTGGGCTATGTGGTCAGCCACTTCCTTTATCTGACCAGATTCAGCCTTTTAATCTCATTTCAAAGTCCTAATAGCTGCTCTTGATTGGCTGCATCTCTTTGATACCAGCTAATGGTGCTGCCTTGCACTCCGTCTTCCTTATGGCCTTTTCTTCCTGGTGTGCTAGAACATTAATCCGTGATGTTCAGCCACTCTGTCTCATCCTTAAGTCTCATTAAACCTCATTATCTGGTTCTTTCAGCTGTGGCAAAACAATGTTTAGAGGGGCAATTCTTTGCCTTGCCGAAAGCTGCCTTTTCTGGAGAGGGTCCTGGTTACAGAGCAGGGCATTGCGCCACTGCTGCCAATCGTATCAGGCCCCATTCACACCACTCATGTAAAGCATGACGATACCACTTTAAAACAGTTGTGGCTTCCCCCAAAGGATTCTGGGACCTGTGGTTTGTTAAGGATGGTGATGGATTTTAGGAAGCCCCTATTCTCCCACACAGAATACAATTCCCAGAATCCCCTGGGAAGAGGGATTGGCCGTTAAACCACTCTGGGAATTCCACTGAGGAGGAATAAGGGTCTCCTCAAAACTCTCAACATCCTGAGCAAACTGCAGCTCCCAGAATCCTTTGGGGGAGGGAACTAATGACTGCTCAAAATAATATCACAGGGCTTTAAATGCATGGCGTTAAACGTGGCCTCAGAGATCTGGGCTGAAATTTAGAACTGGGCTTTCTGGCATGAATTCGGGGAGGGGGGCAGGTACCCCTGTGCATTTTACTGCAAAAAATCCATTTGAGAAAATAAAATGGGAAAGGGGGTAGGTGTGTTTGATCTGCTCTCATTGCACAACATACATTTGCTTGTATGCGATTGAGCCCCACCTCCCCACTTGAAAACAGGAAGTGGCCTAAATTCGGTGCTCGAAAATTACAAGGCCTGCCTCTCTCCTCGGCCTGATCGCTTCTTGGCATGGACTTCAAAAGCCTTCTAGCCTCGGCCAGAACGATCAGCTTCACATACCTCTGTCTCTGCCGGTGTCTCGCAGCAGCTATCAGCAGTCTTCCTCTCCTGTAAGCGCTGTGGATCTGGGCCCATAACCCTGTTGTTGGGATACTGCCGGGGAGACGGGGGCATTTGGCAGGCCCCCAGCTGGCTCCAGCCACTGGCCGGCAGCCGGGCAATCTCCGTGTCAATCAATGACACGAGCCTCATATACGTTTAGAGACTCGGCACACTCTTATCAGCAGAGTGAATAACTTCTCACAACGGAAGTGGCAGACAGAGACATGTGTAAGCGTTATTTACAGGCGTTTATTCAGCGTAGTTCAGGAACAAAGGAAAAACATGTCTGCTTCCCTTCGTCTCCAGCAAACAGCAATACAAAAGCAATATACAAATGGAAGTTCCCAGCAGACCTGTGCTGGAAGTAAACAGTCATGTGATACACAACAGTCATGCCTGCTCCTTCTAAGGTGGAATTGAACTATATCCTAACAGTCTGCACATGTTGTGGCAATGGATTCCCAAGTATGCAAAGTATGGAGAAGGGTGTGTGTTGGGGGGATGAGGGCCCTCCTCTCCAATGGGTCTCTGCCCCCAAAGCAGCATCTCTATGGAAGACATTACATCTGGAAAAGTGCCAAAATCGCCACTTGCATTCCCTGTGAGGCGAGTTGCTGTTTGTGGGCTTCCCATATAGGTCCCTGGTTGGCTTCTGCGAAAATAGGATGCTGGACTAGGTGGGCCTTTGGCCTGATCCAGCAACCAGCAGGCGGCTCTTTATGGTCACCGAAATGACTCTGCACTAATTATATCAACTTACATTTTGTTTGATTGCCGGAAGCTTCCTCCAAGTGTTTTGGGAGAGGCAGGTTCTATAAATATTTGGACCATTTTTGTAGCATCCGCTTAAAACATATACAATTTGGAGTTGTTTACCACCCTAAGAACCTTCCAATCCCCTTAACCTCCTTCCTTTCGGCTCCATCAAAAGGGCCGTGCAACATTTTTCTTTTTTAAAAACCTTTCTTTGCTTTTATTTTCTCTTATTAAAGTAATCACTCACTCTGTTGCAAGCCAGGACATTAAGAGGAGGAGAGTCCTGACCCTTTTTGACAACCTTATTTCAGAGCTAATGGCATTAAAACTGGTTGCCTGGTGCTATTTTAAGCTGGCTCCCTCTTCCTTCCTGGTGATCTTCCCGTCGCTGAGCAGTGAGTCATTCGCTGTGTGATGGTCAGATGCCTTTTCTAGTTTTTCGGCTGCAATGGAGTGATAGCGGGCTGGTCAATGGATTCTTTGTTGATGGGTTGCATTGATATCCCCACCTTTTCCATCACGGAGTTCAAGGCGGTATTCATAGTTCTTCTGCTCTCCATTTTCTCCTCACAACAACCCTGTGAGGTAGATTAGGCTGGCCACTCCCAGTTCACTTCATGGCCGAGTGGGGATTTGAACTCTGGTCTCCGAGGTACTAGTGCTATACTCTAACCACTGCTCTGTAGATGAAGTTGTGTGTCAGGTAAACTGGTCCATTAGGGTGGAAGTGGCACTGCAGATTTATTTATTTCAAAGCCTTTATACAGTGGTTGCTTGTAATCAAAGCTGTAAGTAATGGTTGGCAAACTAAGGCCCGGGGGCCAGATCCGGCCAAATCGCCTTCTCGATCCGGCCCGCGGACGGTCTGGGAATCAGCCTGTTTTTACCTGAGTAGAATGTGCCCTTTTATTTAAAATGCACCTCTGGGTTACTTGTGGGGCCTGCCTGGTGTTTTTACATGAGTAGAATGTGTGCTTTTATTTAAAATGCATCTCTGGGTTACTTGTGGGGCATAGGAATTCATTCATTTCCCCCCTCAAAATATAGTCCGGCCCCCCACAAGGTCTGAGGGACAGTGGACCGGCCCCCTGCTGAAAAAGTTTGCTGACCCCTGCTAAGTGGTTTATGAAATAAAAATGCAAGTGTTAGAAGGAGGTATTTTAAGAATGCTTAAAAGAGAATTAAAATAAACTGTAAGCAGATTGGAAGGCAGGTTTGCATTCTGTCAGTTATATCCAGGGCTGGTTTTCAGAATAGACCAACTGAAATTGATGGACGTAAGTTCATTCATTTCCATTGGTGTACTCTACTTAAGACTAGCATTGGAGGCTACCTGTTTTTCTGGATATGCTGTTGGCCTAAACAAAAAATGTTTCAGGGAGATTCCTATAAAGAATAGATGGGGGTTCTTTCCTGACGCCAATAGACAGGGAGTTCCAAAGTGCTACAGCAGAAAATAAAATGACCTGGCTTTGATGGATATCTGTGTATGGCAAGAGGGAATCTCTCACTGACACCTTGCACATTAGGGTGTGTTGAATTTTTCAACTTTCAAACTCCCAAATGAGGGGTGCTGAAAAGTTGTAGCATGACTTGGGAATTCGAAAGATACTTGGGTTAAATGGATATAATTTAGTTTTGATTGGTAAGTAAAATGTATGTAAGATTGCACAGAAATCGTTAAACATGATTCCCAAGTTTTCCATTTATATTAAACAGTCGTACCTGGGAAGTCGAACAGAATCCGTTCCAGAAATCTTAACACTGTATATCTGACCTGGCGTCAACACCCAGCATCCTCGACCCCAACCCATTGTTACTGACCCCAACCCTGGACCCCTTTTTAAACCCAGACTCAGCAGCTGAGTGCCACCATCTTAATTTCCTGCATTGCCCTGAGACAGTGTTGCTCTGTAGGTATTATGGCAAATTAAAATGGTGGCTCATTCAGAGTACTGCCGCTGCCCACCACTGTCAGGTGAGCCCATGAGGTAGCACAGAGGTAGGAAGGAGCCCATCAAACTTGGAATCAACTCTGCTCTGTACTCCATAGGAACCTGTGTCCCTTGAGACAACAGTTCCCCACATCCCCAGCTGCCATGAGCAATGATCCTATATGGGTGCTGTGAATCAGGCATAGGCAAACTCAGCCCTCCAGATGTTTTGGGACCACAACTCCCATCATCCCTGACCACTGGCCCTGTTACCTAGGGATGATGGGAGTTGTAGTCCCAAAACAGCTGGCGGGCCGAGTTTGCCTATGCCTGCTCTAGATGTTGTTTGACTGCAAACCACCCCCCTTCCTTAAGGGAATGGATAACAATTCCCCTAGTTTCCTCTGGAACTCACTCCCACAAGAAGTAAAGCCACCAAGTTGGCTGGCTTTAAAAGAGGCTGAAATAAATTTGTGACAGAGAAGGCCATGAATGGATACTACCTGTGACGGCCCATGTTCTGCCACCATTCGAAGTAAATATTCCTCTGAACGTCACTTCTTGGGAATCACAAGTGGGGAGAGTTGTTGCGCTCAGATCCATCTTGCAGGCTTATGGCCTCTCCGGTGACTTCCCTCATCTTCCCTCTCTGGTTTGTTACAAAAATTGTTATCTTCTGCATGTTAATATACACAAAATATCATTACATTATCTTCCTCCATGTTTTAATTAAATAAAATTGTGGGTGTTTATTCAAAACCTGCCAATGAGTCCAATTCTTTATGTTATTTTTGTAAATAAACTGTGAAAGATTCCCATTCATTTTTAAAGTTTCTATTGTCCTTTTCATGCAGTTTATCTGTTAACTTTTCTAATTCTGCATAGTTCCTCAAATTTTCTTGCCATTGTTCTTTCGTTGGTACTTCTTCTTTCTTCTACCCTTGAGCTAATAAGATTCTTGCCGCTGTTGTAGCATACAAAAGCATTTTCCATTTTTCTTTCAGCAGTTCTTGACCAGAAATGCCTAGCAAAAAGGCTTCTGTTGTTGTTTTTTTAACAAATGTTATTTTAAACATTTTTTTCAGTTCGTTGTATATCATTTCCCAGAAGTTTTTTTTAAACAATTTTACATTCCCACCACATAGAGCTCTCCTTATTTTATTGTGTTCTGAAATAAAACAATCAGCAAATGGGGTTGTTTTTTTTAAAGATATTTATTGAAGTTTCAAAAAAAGATTACATAGATAAGAACAAAAAATAAAAAATAAAGAAAAGAAAAATACAAAATACAAAAAAAGCACAATTAAAAACGTTTCCATCTTTTCATCAAATGTCTTTCATTTACTTGTTTCCCGGACCTCCTCATGCCTCCCTTTTTTGTATTCCAGTTCAATTTATTAGTTCAGCAATTCCTTTCCCTCCTTATTTTATCCTGATCTTTAATCTTAATATATTATGGCGTTAAATTTTTACGTATTGAAAATCCAATTTTTCCATATTCTTTTATACCATTACAGCTAGAAACCACTTAACTTCAATCCAACATCATTCTAACATTCATTAATTTTACAATATTTCTGTAAATAGTCTTTAAATTTCTTCCAATCTTCTTCCACTGACTCTTCTCCCTGGTCTCGGATTCTGCCAGTCATTTCCGCCAATTCCATGTAGTCCATCATTTTCATCTGCCATTCTTCCAGAGTGGGTAAATCTTGTGTCTTCCAATACTTTGCGATAAGTATTCTTGCTGCTGTTGTGGCATACATAAAAAAAGTTCTGTCCTTCTTTGGCACCAATTGACCGACTATGCCCAGGAGAAAGGCCTCTGGTTTCTTCAAGAAGGTATATTTAAATACCTTTTTCAATTCATTATATATCATCTCCCAGAAAGCCTTAATCCTTGGGCACGTCCACCAAAGGTGAAAGAATGTACCTTCAGTCTCTTTACATTTCCAACATTTATTATCGGGCAAATGGTAGATTTTTGCAAGCTTGACTGGGGTTATGTACCACCTGTATATCATTTTCATAATATTCTCTCTTAGGGCATTACATGCCGTAAACTTCAAAGCTGTGGTCCATAACTGTTCCCAGTCAGCAAACATAATATTATATCCAACATCTTGTGCCCATTTAATCATAGCAGATTTCACCGTTTCATCCTGAGTATTCCATTTCAACAGCAAGTTATACATTCTTGACAAATTCTTAGTTTTGGGTTCTAACAGTTCTGTTTCTAGTTTTGATTTTTCCGCCTGGAAGCCAATTTTCTTGTCCAAATTGTATGCCTCCATTATCTGATAATAATGAAGCCAGTCTCGCACTTTGTTTTTTAGTTTTTCAAACCCAAACAGCAAATGGGTTTTGGAGGCAGGGCGTGGGAGGGGAACCAAGCCAATGCCGGCCACAGGTGCCTCAGAGCTATGCAAAATAATCATTTGTGGGATCTATATTAAGGCTGCATCTGCCTAGGGGAAGCCCAGAGGACGTAGAACCACCCGTGAGCTCATCACATTTGATAGCAATGAGCCACCACCACGATGACCTGGTTTCATCCGATGCACACAGAGACTCTTAAGTCTCTGCCCAGATACCAACCTAGAGGGACTTCCGAAAGCTTTCCACTGAGAATGCTCAGGTGCGATTGTTACAGATGCAGGGAGTCTTAACTTTCCATTCCCATTTTTTTTAATATAAAAAAAGCAAAAGTGGGGAGATTTGCTGTCCTGTTTGCTAGCTTCCCGTAGTTATCTAGCTGGCCACTGTGGGAACAGCATGCTGGACTAGGTGGAATTTTTGACCTGGTCCAACTTCTTATATTCTACTTGGATGGCTTTAAAAGTGGGGTTGATAAATTCATGGAGGATAAGGCTTGTCGGTGGCTACTTGCCACAATGGCTATGTTGTAGGCCAGCATCGGAGGCAGGATACTGCCCAATACAAGTTCCTGGGAATTGCAAGAAGGGACAGTTGCTGTTGTTGGCTGGCAACTGTAAGAACAGGATCCTGGGCTAGGTGGGCCTTTGAGCTCATCTAGCAGGACTGTTCTTAAGTGTGTATCCATCTCCTATCCCTGGAAGAATGCTCTGTGTCATCTTTTTATTAATGCTGTGGTTCTCTTCTGCTTTTCTCTCCCCCCCCCCAACCTCAAGGTGGTTTCACCCAAACATCAATGGCATTGAAGCGGAGAAGTTGCTGTTAACCCGAGGAGTCCATGGGAGTTTTTTAGCCCGGCCTAGTAAAAGCAATCCGGGAGACTTCACCTTATCTGTCAGGTATGAAATGTTCAAAAACAACAACTTTGGGGTGGATGGGCCAGCTTGGAACCAACAGCATGGTGCCATGTTCTCAGCGGAACAAATTCTGAGTGTAACGAATCTGAAGGAGAGTCTCCACCCCAATCATTCAGCCTGGACGCTGAGGTCTAGCTTGGAGGGCCTTCTGGCAGTTCCCTCACTGCAAGAAGCCAAGTTAGAGGGAACCAGGCAGAGGGCCTTCTCGGTAGTGGCACCCGCCCTGTGGAACACCCTCCCACCAAATGTCAAAGAGAACAACTACCAGACTTTTGAAGACATCTGAAGGCAGCCCTTAGGGAAACTTTTAATGTTTGATGCATTACTGTATTTTAATATTTTGTTGGAAGCCACCCAGAGTGGCTGGGGAAGCCCAGCCAGATGGGCGGGGTATAAATAAATAAATTATTATTATTATTATTATTATTATGCAACATCAAAACATTTGCTGTGCCCTCACCTTCAGTACACATCAGACATTAAGTTTTTCTGCTCACCCGCAAGAAGGATGGAAAGACCAGTGGCAGAGCTGCTACTCTGCATGCAGAAGATACAACCAGGCAGGGCTGAAATTCTGGAGAGACTTTGCTGGTCAGTGTAGACCAATGTTTCCCAAACTTGGGTCTCCAGCTGTTTCGGGACTACAGATCCCATCATCCCTCACCACTGGTCTTGCTAGCTAGGGATGATGGGATTTGTAGTCCCCAAACAGCTAGAGATTCACGTTTGGGAAACATTGGTGTAGACCAATGATAGCCAACTGGTGCCTCACCTCCACAAGCTACCAGCTTGGGTTGCTTTCAAAGAGGACTAGACAAATTAATAGAGGGGAAGGCTATCAGTGACTGCTAGCCAGGACTGGTGATACTCTGCCTCCATGGTCAGAGGCAGAAACACATCTGAATAACAGTTTTGTTTTGTTTGAAAGTTGCAGGAGAAAGAGAGGGTCCTGCAAAACGAAACTGTTTTGATCAGGTGAAAAAGAACTCTTGTGCGAGAGATGAGGCGCTCTGCGCATGCTCAGAGGCACACACTGCATGGGGTGCTAGCGTTCTTGCATCTGCAAGTTGGCCAGCTTCCTCGGGGCTGCTGCCAAACCATCCGGTGATCTCAGGGCAGAGTCCGCCGGCTTGGAAAAACCCCTCTTGATCTTTCCAAACCTCTGAATGTTTAGCTGCTTGTGGGGGGAGGGCAGGGAATAAGCTCATCCACTTACAGCTGTAGCTGGATCTCGGTAAATAATTTAAGGAGCAGGAATTGGTGCTCTGTGTATTTCTGTAAGAGGTGTTTGGGCTGCAAGCCAGCCTTCGGGGAAACGCAAGCGCCAAGGAAAGGGAGTTTGAAGAGCCTCTGGACGAGGAATCCATTTAACATGGAAAACGGGGGACGTTTTCTAAGAGCGGCTCTCATGTTCTTGGCTGCAGCTATAATGCAGATTATTTCAGGGGGAGTGGGGAGGAGATATTGCTAGATAATAGTGTGCCTCCTCTTCCACATTGTCACATGGCTACAGAAATTTCCCTTTGTGAAAGTGGCCCCTATTTGCTTACACACTAAGCAGGCGCAGGAATATTTTTGTTATTGTTACATTCCCCCACTCTCCCCTCCCCCCAAAGCTCCAAGTACAGTGGTACCTCAGATTAAGTACTTAATTGGTTCCGGAAGTCTGTACTTAACCTGAAGCGTTCTTAACCTGAAGCGGACTTTCCCATTGAAAGTAATGGAAAGTGGATTGATCCGTTCCAGACGATGAAAAAACACCCCCTAAAACAGCAATTTAACACTAATTTTACTGTTTCACGAGACCATTGATCCATAAAATGAAGGCAATAATCAATGTACTGTATTATAAAATAAATAAGACAGTATTTTAGATGAAAAAAAATTATTTCCAAACTCACTGTTTGGAGGGGCTCAGGGTCCTCTTCCACAATCACAATCGGCTTGGCTCCCTGCATTCGCGGAGGCCTCAGAGAGCTCCGTAGGCCCCGCTGATGTCTGGGTTTCCCACCAGGCAGCGGCGAGGCCTCCGAGAGCTTGGACAACTTACTTCCGGGTTACAATCGTTCGTAACCCGAAAAAACGTAAGTTGAAGCGTTCGTAACCCGAGGTACCACTGTATTGAAAGACTCCAAGAGTTGCAGTGCTATCCTAGAATTTGGTTTCCTTTGAATGGACCAGTGGAGATTCTGGTGCCTGTAGTAGGTTTTAGTTACACATAGATACAGCCTAAGCCTAGGATGGAAGTACTCACAGCATTAAGACCCCCAGATACCTTCCTTCTCCATCAGTTGCTGCTCTGGATCCTGCACAGAGCAAGCACATCTCTGCATCTCCAGCCTCAGGCTCCTCTCTCTGATGTCTGTTCTCCTGCCTAGCAGCCAATTCTGTGGAACTTTTATTCCTAGACTTCTCTGGGGAGCCAGTGTGGTGTAGCGGTTAAGAGCGGTGGACTCGTAATCTGGTGAACTGGGTTCGCATCTCCGCTCCTCCACATGCAGCTGCTGGGTGACCTTGGGCTAGTCACACTTCTTTGAAGTCTCTCAGCCCCAGCCACCTCACAGAGTGTTTGTTGTGGGGGAGGAAGGGAAAGGAGAATGTTAGCCGCTTTGAGACTCCTTCGGGTAGTGATAAAGTGGGATATCAAATCCAAACTCTTCTTCTTCTTCTCTCTCCTCGCGACTATCCTGCGAGGTAGGTTAGGTTGGGCGGGATATGAACTCGGGTCCCTGCAGTCCTCTTTACCGCTCCCCTCGCTGTCATGAGCTCCAACCAGCAGGTGAACACATTTCCCACCCCCCTCCACTGTGAGTCTTACAAGGAACAGTTTTGGCCTCCGTCAAACACGGTAGTGATAGAGACACCTGTGTGCGTTTTTGAGGGCAGCACGGATTTATTGCCGATCGGCAGGCAAGGGCACCCCATCCCGGCATTCTTGGCAGTTCAGCTTTCATATCTAAGAGAGCTTTTGAGGTAATTAGCAGCTGCAGCTGTGTGCTTCGGAGAGGAAAAGAGAGCCGTCTTCCTTTCTAAAACCGCGCCAAGACGGATCTGAGGGCGACGGAGGTTCTTCTCCCGCGAAGCGAAATTTGCAGCCGCAGCCGTTTTCATGTAATTATTTAATCCAGCTGCTGGTTTGGAGAGGGACCCTGCCGCCTTCGCTCAATAGCTGCCTCTGTGGCGAGGCCACAGGTGTCCCTTCTTTGTGCAGAAGCGATTTTGGCATCAAACAAATTGAGCGTGACTCCACGGAAGCATTGTCGGGCGTTTAGATGTAGGCGGTTCTGGCAGAGAAGCATTTGTGTGGTGGCCTGGTCATTTGCAAAGGATTGTGTGTAATTTCCTCTTTTATTCCCCCACCCCCACCCCAGTTTTAGAACTGCACACTTTTTTTCCAGGTGCTAGCATAGCCTGCCCATTTAAAAATATTTCCCTTGCTTTTACCACATTCATTCTCAGCTCAGTAATGCTCCAGGATCATGCAGGAGCAATCGTGTCAATGAGCATACAAGATGCCAGAATGAAAGATGAGGTTGCTGGATCAGGCCAGTGGCCCCTCTAGCCCAGCATCCTGTTCTCACAGTGCCGACCAGATGCCTGTGGGAAAACCCACAAACACGGTTTGAGCACACAAGCTCTTGTGGTTTCAATGCAGAGCCATTGTGGCTTGCAGCCATCAGTGGCACTCTCCTCCCTGAGAGAATCTGCTTATAAAGCCATCCAAGTTGGGGTGCCATCACTGCCTCCTGTGGCAGTGAGTTCCATAGTTTCAGTGCTTTGCAAGCAGACGGTCCCCAGTCCAGTCCCTGGCATCTGGGAGAGACTCTGGTCTGCAAACTTGCGATATTTGGGTTTGAAGATTGAAAAAATACTGGTTTCTGGAAAGTAGAATCTTATTGTGGAGCAAATGTTTCGAATAATCCTTTATATGTAACTGACAGATGAAGAACTGGAAGCCCTCTTTCCTTTCTTTCTTTCTTTCTTTCTTTCTTGCTTGCTTGCTTGCTTGCTTGCTTGCTTTCTTTTCCTTCCTTCCTTCCTTCCTCCTTTCCTTCCCTCCCACTTTTCTTTTTTCTTTCTTTTCTGATTTTTTCTCCCCCCCCATGCATGCTTCTCTCTCTTCTTTTTCTGCTTTTGTTTTCATATAGATTAGTTTTTGTATCATTAAAAAGCTTTAACAATGACAACAATAATGCAAAGAAAGACACCGGTCTGTGATACCCCAGAGGGATGCTGGACACCCCATAATATGCTTTCCGGTTTTTTAAAACTTCATTTAACAGGTTAGGAAGGAAACAGTGGTTTGTGAGCAACTTTCTGTCGTCTTCTTTCTAGCATGGAACGGGTTAATCCCATTTGGCTATTAGCAGTGCTGAGAGCACAGGCGCAGTCCCATTGGGGACCCTTTCTGGCCTTTTCTCCCCTCCCTGGCTTTCCTAAGAGGAGGGAGGCTAATTGCATTTAAAGGCACTTAAGAGGCTGCCTGCCTGCCTGCTGAGCTGGCCCCTTTAGGCTTCCAGACGCCTGATGGATGAGTTCAGTCTGGGAGGGGTTGTCTGCTTCTAAAAAGCTTGGTGGGCCAGTGAATTTGGTCACTCCCAGTTGCGGGACTCCAGTAAGATTGACAGCAGGGGACTCTCCCCTAAGAGCTGGGCTCATTTAGGAACACAGGAAACTTCCTTATTATACTGAATTAGGCCTTTATTCAGAGTCTTTATTCATAGTGCTGACAAATGCCAATACTATTTTAAAAACAAAAAAATGCACATTAAACAAAACCAAACAAAACCTTGCATCGGTTTCTGACCCTCCTGGCTGTGCAGATATTCTGATGCTGATGTTTATCCCACTTTTGATTTAGTTATTATTTATTGAATTTATATCCTTCCCTTCCTCCCCTGGGAGCCCAGAGCGGCAAACAGATACTCAATTTTTAAAAAGAAAGCATTTTAAAACAAATGAAAGCATTCTACAAAAAAACCAATTGCAAACGTCTAAAAGCAGTTATGGTCAGAAACGTTCTTCCGTCCAGTGATTTTGGGGTTGCCAGGAACAGGGTTGTTCAGCCAGGGGGAGCAGGAATGCATTTCCTTCTGAAGGTAAATGAAGGGCATTCCACAACCGGGGAGCCATCACTGAAAAGGCCCTGTCAGTATCAACGGGGAAGTCCCTGGTGCTGGCACTTGATCCAGGAATCTCAGAGCAGCGTGCGTGATTCTACCCCCCCACACACCAAATTTGTCTTTACAACAAGTGTGCAAGGAGAGAGAGAGAGAGAAAGAGACTGACCAGAGTCCCTCAGAGAGCTTCAAGGCCAAGTGAAGATTTGCACCTGAATGTCAACCTACCACTCTGCCTCATGTAGCCTCTTGCTTCCAGGGTTTGTTTTGCAAACAGGTGTTACAATCAGTTTTTAGCTCATTTTTAGATCCCACTTTTCCTCCCCACACAAGAACCCTGTTTGGTAGAGTGACAATGAGTGACACATAATCTTCAGGGCTTGGTGGGGTTTTGAACCCAAAGCCACATTCACACCATACCTCTCAAGCATCACAATGTCACTTGGAACAGTTAAGTCTTCCCCCAAAGATTTATGGGAGCTGTAGTTCGTTAAGGGTGCCAAGAACGGTTAGGAAACCTCTGTTCCCTTCACAATATTACATTTCCCTGGGAAGGGGGTCTGGTAGTTAAACCACGCTGGGGACTGTAGGCAAGTAGCGTGTGCAAAAATGCATATACTGGGGTCAAGGGTGCATATAATAAACACATATACTGGTGAAAATAACATGGAAAAGTGCTTTATATCACAGGAAACCACGTTGCAAAAATATGTACTGTATTTTTCGCCCTATAGGACGCACTTTTTCCCCTCCAAAAATGAAGGGGAAATGTGTGTGCGTCCTATGGGGCGAATGCAGGCTTTTGCTGAAGCCTGGAGAGCGAGGGGGGTCGGTGCGCACCGACCCCTCTCGCTCTCCAGGCAGCTATCCACTAGCCGTGGGAGAGCTTGCCGGCACCCAGAAGCTTGGGGCGCGCTGAGCTCAGCACGCCCCAAGCTTCGGGTTTCGCGCAGCTCTACGCTAGCCGTGGGAGAGCAGCCTGTTCTGGGGGCTGGGGTCAGGGGAAGCTCGGGCTTGCCCCGCCCCAGCCCCGCACCTGGGGGGGGAAATAATATTTTTTTCTTTATTCCCCCCCCCCAAAAAAATACTAGGTGCGTCCTATGGGCCGGTGCGTCCTATGGGGCGAAAAATACGGTATATTAGGCAGTGCAAAATGAGCCCTAAAATGCTGATCATTTTTCATGATTCTAAACCCCCCCCCCAAAAAAAAACCAAGTTCACAAATAGATGTGGAAATGTAGGGAACCTAAGCTTGGGGGGGGGGGAATGGATTTGCCCCCATCCACCATTTGCCCTTGGGCTGGTTGTTTGATAGGTCACTGAATATGATGCTTTTGTTTGTCTTTATACCCAGCGTTACAAATTCTGTTCTCTTCTTTCTCCTGCTCGCCACCGCTTTCCGGCTCCAGGAGGAATGACGAAGTCACCCACATCAAAATCCAGAACTCTGGGGACTACTACGACCTGTATGGCGGGGAGAAGTTTGCCACGTTGGCGGAGCTGGTCCAGTATTACACTGAACAGCAGGGTCTCCTGCGAGAAAAGAACAGCAACATCATTGAGCTGAAGTTTCCTCTCAACTGCCAAGATCCCACCTCGGAGAGGTGAGCTGGGAGCTCCTGTCCCAGATGCTCTGTTTGCATGCTCTCATACTGACCTTCCCTGGGCACTGTCCTGGCCTACCTTATAGGGTGGTTGTGAGAGAGACGGAACATGCGTGTAAACTGCTTTGAACTTCAAGTGTCGTATAAATGCAAAGAATCATAGTTTCTGCTGCTGCTTCCTAGATCAGGGCTGTGTCCCTCCAGCTGTTTCTGGACCCCAGTGGCCAGGGATGATGAGAATTGTGGTCCAAAAGCAGCTAGAGACCTGGATTTGGGAAACCCTGACCTAGAGGGTCACAGGCTTCCGGAGAATGGGGAGCCTGTGGCCCTCCAGGGGTTGCTAGACTCCAGCTCCCATCAGCCTTAGCTAGCATAGCCTCTGATCATGGATGATGGAAGTTGGTGTCCAACAATATCTGAAGGGCCACAGGTTCTCCTTGTCTGTTATAGAAGCAGCTCTCAGCATGCTGCTGTGTTAAGAGCCCCTTCCTGTACCAGTTGGACAGCTCCGTTAGGCTTACCCAGCACTTTCTGATCAGGTGGGCACCATGTTTATTTCCCACAATGCCTCTGGTGTAGAATCACTCTGGGGCTTTGTGGGGGATTTAAAATGGCAGCATCCTGACACTGAGGAAGAATATTAAGGAATGGGGAGGAGAATAGGGCAGGAGTCTCTGGCAGGTCCTGGCATCTGCTTGGCGATACCAGACCTGGGCCCTGGGTCTGTTGGCAAATTTGGGCCCCACCTGTGTTATCCATGTATTGTACCACTTTAAATAGTCACGCTTCCTCCAAGGAATCCTGGGAATTGTAGTTTGTTAGGGGTGCTGAGAGTCCTTAGAAGACTCCATCGCCTCACAGAGCTATAATTGGCATCGTAATTGTTGATTTATTAATTGCTTTCTGAGCCATGGTCTCAAGGCGATTTACACATAAATTAACTAAAGTATTAAAAAGCTAGTTTAAGTTCCTAGAGTGGTTTAACGATCCCTCTGTTTTCTCAGGGAGGTCTGGGAATCATAGTTCTATAAGAGGAATAGGGGTCTCCTAACAACTCTCAGCGCCAATCCACAAACTACAGCTCCCAGGATTCTTTGGGGGAAGCCACGACAGCTTAAAGATGGGGCCTTGATTTCCAGGTGTTTGCTTAACTCTTGTTCCCATCTCTTAATTCCTATATTTCTTCACAGCCAGGGCTGATGACAAAAAGATAGGAACCTCTAGGACCCAGGGGCAGAAAGTACCTCCATGGTGAGGGGTTTGTTTTGCTGTGTAGGGAAAGAGAGTCACTCCTCAAAATAGGCTGATGGCGCCATCTAGGGATGAAGGGGTAGAGGTTCAAGCTTACAAGAAAGAGAGGCCTTCCTTATGGGGCAAACTGGAGGCCTAGCGCTGGTGTCTGCCTCAGGGGTGCAGTCAGGATGGAGGAATCTGTCAATCATGCTTTTTCTCGTTTTCTCATTTTTGCAGTTTTCCATTCCGTTCTCCACATTTCCATAGCAATTGGCGATCTCCCCACCCCATGAAAATCCACCAGCGTTTTCATGTCAAGTTTCTCCCAGCGGACGCATTATTATATCCAGTTTTAACTAATAATATACATTTTTGCTGCAACTTCTCTCCTCATGTAATGCATTTTCCTTGTGTTATTTTCACACAATTTTCCAGCACACTTTCCCTCCCAGTATATGCATTATTTGGACGGAGAGTTGCATTGCAAAATTCGGGGAAGATAGAATTTTTGAAATATTATTGGGTTTTGGCTTGTGAATTGGTTCAAGAAGTGTGAACTGGGTATCTTCTCACTAAAATGCAAATAATCAGTTTCTCCCCTATGCTTAGAATGGACAGGCTATTATTATTATTATTACTACTATCATTATCACTATTATTGTCCGTATCTGCTCACCACATATAAAGTAGGCATGTGTGTAAAAAATTTACATAAAGAGGCAAGCTAAAGCCTGATGTATCTTCACATCTGTGAGGCCCACTGGTCAACTGTAGGTGGGTCTAGAAGGGAAAGGGGGTGGAGCTTGCAGGACTGCCTTCTCTCTCCCTTATACACCTGTACCCCCATGATGCAAGCAGGCATGGAGGCAAATTGCAGGCCAGGATGGCCCTTGGGGTTCTTTCCAGACCACACCCCCTACTAAGCCACGCCCACTTCCCCAGACCACACCCCTCTCCAGCTCCGCTTTGTATCCTTAGTAACACCGTAACTTAACACTGAGGTTGAATTCCAAGCGTCATGCCTAAAGCCAAAATCGCATATAGTCAAAACACATTGGGTGCAATAGGAGGTGGGATTGCCAAAGTCTTTTTTAATCTGCCCCCCCTTTCCACTTCCTTTTTTAAAAAAAATTTAAAATTGCCGAGTGCTGAATGCACACAAGTTAAATGTGCACAAGTTGCGGGCTTACTATATTAATGCTAACTAATACCCTTAGTATTTCCCCCCCCCCCGCCTGGAACATGTCCTTGAGCAAACATGTTTCACAATGTTGAAATCGACTATAAATATATGAAATTTAGTTGTGATTAAATGTAGTTCCAACAACTGGTATTTAGAGGTCTACTGCCTCTGACCGTGGAGGGTGGAACATTGCCATTGTTGCTAGGAGCCATGACTGTCTTTGGTCCAGGAAAGGGCTGTAGCTCAATGGCAGAACATCTGCTTTGCCTACAAAAGAGTCCAGGTTCAATCCCCGGGATCTCCAGGCAGGACTGGGAAAGATGTCTTGTCTGGAACCTTGGAGAGGCGGACAATCAGTCAGTGTGGACAATACCAAGCTATATGGACCCAGGGGTCTGATTCTGTATCAGTGTCCTGTGTTCCTGCCCATTAACTTCAGTGGTGCAGAATTCAGTGGCCAGGTTGCTCACCGGAGCAAGATGGTTTGAGCATATTACACTGATCCTGGTCCGACTGCACTGGCTACCAACTAGTTTCCTGGCCCAATTCAAAGTGCTGGTCTTGACCTCTAAAGCCTTCAATGGCTCAGGACCACAGTACCTCAAAGACTGCCTCTTTCCATATGAACCAACCCAGACCCTGAGATCAGCTTCTGAGGCCCTTCTTTGTGTGCCTCCTCCTCAAGAGGAGGGTGGCAACACGAGAACAGGGCCTTCTCTGCAGTGGCTCCCCGTCTGTGGAATGCTCCCCCCAGGGAAGTTCGCCTGGCACCTTCATTATACACCTTTAGGTGCCAGGGAAAAACATTTCTTTTTAACCAGGCCTTTGGTTGATCTGATTTACATCTTATGTCCTTTAAAGATGGTTTTCGGGGGGGCTATTGGGTTGTTGTTTTCATTTTTATTAGGTATTTTGTGGTTTTATATCTTGAGTTTATTCTGTGAACTGCCCTGAGACCCCAGGGTATAGGGCGGTATATAAATTCAATAAATAATCATACTCTAGACAGAATGTAGGTAAAGGTAAAGGGACCCCCTGACCATTAGGTCCAGTCGTGGCCGACTCTGGGGTTGCAGCGCTCATCTCACTTTATTGGCTGAGGGAGCTGGCGTACAGCTTCCAGGTCATGTGGCCAGCATGACTAAGCCGCTTCTGGTGAACCAGGGCAGCACACAGAAATGCCGTTTACCTTCCTGCCGGAGCGGTACCTATTTATCTACTTGCACTGGTGTACTTTCAAACTGCTAGGTTGGCAGGAGCAGGGACCGAGCAACGGGAGCTCACCCCATCGTGGGGATTTCAACCGCCGACCTTCTGATTGGCAAGTCCTAGGATCTGTGGTTTAACCCACAGCGCCACCCGCGTCCCTAAGTCCCAGAACTTAGTTGGCCATAACTCCTGATCTCTTGGCCTACTGCACCACCCCAAACTCTCTACCTGAAGCTCTTTGCCTTCCTAGATGGTACCACGGCCACCTGACGGGCAAAGAAGCCGAGAAGCTCCTCACTGAGAAGGGCAAGCCTGGGAGCTTCCTGGTGAGGGGCAGCCAGAGCAAGCCTGGAGACTTTGTCTTGTCGGTGTTGACGAATGAGGACAAAGCTGATACGGGGGACCGGAAGCCCCGGGTGACTCACATCATGATCCGGTACCAGGTAAGGTGTTGTGAAAGCAGATTGTCAGACATTCCTCAGAGGTTTCTAGTTAAATTCCTCCTGGGGGTGGGAATCCAACATGAAGTTTCTCCTTGCCGCTGAGCTTTAATCCATTGTGCTGATGGACAGGCATTGATGCTACAGTGAAAGGTTTTGCCATTCGCCTGTTTTGAGCCAATGAACTCTCAAGACTGTAAAATGCCAATAACTGTTCTGTCTGCATCACTAAATACAGTGGTACCTCGGGTTAAGTAATTAATTTGTTCCGGAGGTCCGTTCTTAACCTGAAACTGTTCTTAACCTGAAGCACCACTTTAGCTAATGGGGCCTCCCGCTGCTGCTGCGTGATTTATGTTCTCATCCTGAAGCAAAGTTCTTAACCCAAGGTACTATTTCTGGGTTAGCAGAGTCTGTAACCTGAAGCGTCTGTAACCCGAGGTACCACTGTGTAATAAGAAAAAATAGCAATTGCGGTGAGCCAAATTATTATTTATTTATAATAGTAGTCTCATATCCAGTGTTGCTTGGGGATTCTAAGACACCCTCCCCAAAGTGCACTTTTGTGAGGTACGCCATCTTGATTCAAAATGGCACCCAGTTGTACCCTAACGTAGATTAAAGCCCTGCTTCTTGATCTCAGGAACCATTATGCAAAATATACCGTATTTTTCGCTCTATAGGACGCACCGGACCATAGGAGGGGGAGAACAGGAGGGGGGGGGAAATCTCCCTCTCTCTGCCCCATAGGACGCACACACATTTCCCCAGCCCCACTCACCTCACAGAGTGTTTGTTGTGGGGGAGGAAGGGAAAGGAGATTGTAAGCCGCTTTGAGACTCTTGAAGGGGAGTGAAAGGCGGGATATCAAGTCCAAACTCTTCTTCTTCTTCTTCTTCTTCTTCTTCTTCTTAATTTTTGGAGGGGAAAAGTGTGTCCTATAGAGCGAAAAATACAGTATCTTAAGTGAGATTCATATGCCAAGCAAACCAACAGTTCTCATATATGTATATGTATATGTATATGTATATGTATATGTATATGTATATGAGACAGAATTAGATTAGATTTATAAATAATGGCACAAATTGTTCCTTTCTCCCCTTCCGCCCTCAAAAAATAAGTAAGTCTTATCCTTGCAACAAATCTTAAGAGGCAGAAAGCCTAGCGAAGCCTCTTGGATGAGGGTGAACTTTGGTTTCCCTCGACTAACATGCTTTTCGCTGCTCTACACAGCCTTTTGAATTAGGCCAGGGTGAGATCTGAGATCATGTATGGAGTGAGGATTTGAGTCAACATTGTCCTAGTCCACATCTTGTTCTGCCTCTACCTCAGTCTCTCTGTGTGTGTTCATTTCTGCAGTCATAACTCTGCCTTCCCCCCCACAGCTGGATGGAAAATACGACGTTGGGGGTGGCGAGCGTTTTGACACCCTCACGGACTTAGTGGAGCACTACAAGAAAAACCCCATGGTGGAGAAGTCTGGGGCAGTTGTACACCTGAAACAGGTAACATGGCAACAGTTATTTAGGTGGGACTGAGTTGTCCCTGATTGGAGAAGCCATCCGAGGAAGGGGCCTGCCTTCGCTGAGTCCTCCAGGGAGGTCCTTTTTCTGGTTCCTGTCACCCCAACTCAACCCCTTTCTCTCTTCTTGGCCCTTCATGTTGTGAGGTTGTCTTCTGCGCATCCCTGTCTTGCAGCCTTTCAATGCCACACGGATCATTGCCGCCAACATCGAGAACCGGGTAAAGGAACTGAACAAAATGGCAGACCACAGCGAGAAGGCCAAGCAAGGCTTCTGGGAGGAGTTTGAGGTACACAAGAAAAACAAGAATTAGATAACAGAAACTACAGTCTCCACACAAAAAACCCAAGTTTGACAAATACTGCATCTGTTTTTATTTATTTATTTTAAACATGTACAGAGGTACCTCGGCTTACATACGCTTCAGGTTACATACTCTTCAGGTTACAGACTCCGCTAACCCAGAAATAGTACCTCAGGTTAAGAACTTTGCTTCAGGATGAGAACAGAAATCGTGCTCCGGTGGCGCGGCGGCAGCAGGAGGCCCCATTAGCTAAAGTGGTGCTTCAGGTTAAGAACAGTTTCAGGTTAAGAACGGACCTCCAGAATGAATTAAGTACTTTACCCGAAGTATGGGGCCTCCCGTATATCCTACTTTTTACCATCATAGCTGTAAAAGCAGCTTATAGCAAGAAATAAGATATATGTACATTAAACAAAATGTAGAGCAACGTTTTGATTGTCAGAAATTTGAACAAAGATCATCAGAAAGAAAGAATTTTTTTGATTGCAAAGGCCTCCTGAAATAAAAAGGTTTTAACCATAAACAAATGTGAGGTCATGGAGGGTTAAGAATAAGAATAACAACAGTAGTAAAAATAGAAATATTTCTTTTCCTTTTTATATTTCCTTCTTCTTTTTAATTTTGTTAGATTTGCAAATAAAAAAGCAAAGAAACCATCAATAAATCAACAAGTCCGTCATAGAACTGAACTAAACAGTTGAGTCCAATTGTTTCCCTTTATTATTATTAAATATATTTATTGAAACTTATTCAAAGATACACAAAAATACATACCCATGGCAAAGTATCTTTTTATAATATGCTGAGATAAAACAGCTACTTTAGTCTAAAAGAGAAAAAAGAAGGAAGAAAAGACAAGGAGAAAGAAAGAAAGAAGAAAGAGAAAGCGAGAGGAAAGGAAGAGCGAGGACGACAGTTTTCAATGTAACCAAATCGCCTTGACAGCAGTTCCCATCCCATTGCTCACCTGGGTGAGCCATTTGCTCCCCTCTGTGCCTCACCCAAAGGAGATCCCTCCTGCCAACAGATTCCCAATCCAGTTCTGATATTGCACTTTGCCATAATGACACCCCTTAGGCCAGTGTTTCCCAAGGTTGGGTCTCCAGGTGTTTTTGAACTACAACTCCCATCATCCCTAGCTAGCAAGACCAGTGACAGGGAAGATGGGAACTGTAGTCTGAAAACAGCTGGAGACCCAAGTTTGGGAAACACTGCCTTAGGCAACTAGTGGTTTTTAATACTTCAGCGCCCCCTATTTGCAATCCTGGGGATACTGGCCTACCTTTCAGGTAGCTTGTACAGATTTCACTTCAAGGTTTACACTCCCTCTTCGAAAGCACTTTGCGGATGCGAAGTGTCTTTTAAAATTCAAGCTTTCTCTCTTTATTGTTTCTGCCCTTGCAGATGCTGCAGCAGCAGGAGTGCAAGTTCCTCTACCCCCGGAAAGAGGGACAGCGTGCAGAGAACAAAGCGAAGAACCGCTACAAAAACATCCTTCCCTGTAAGCATCACAGCTTTTTCACCCAAGGGCCACATCCTGTCCAGGACAACCTTCCGAGGGCCGCGTGCCAGTGGTGGGCGGAGTCAGAAGCAAAAGTAGGCTGAGCAATGGGTCTGGTGTGGTGGAGCGATTAGGATTTGTATCAGGACTTAACCATCTTGGGACAGTGACGTGTGTGTGTGTGTACTTTTTTGTGTTGCCATAAACTACCTTGTAAGGGACGCGGGTGGCGCTGTGGGTAAAACCTCAGCGCCTAGGACTTGCCGATCGCATGGTCGGCGGTTCGAATCCCCGCGGCGGGGTGCGCTCCCGTCGTTCGGTCCCAGCGCCTGCCAACCTAGCAGTTCAAAAGCACCTTCGGGTGCAAATAGATAAATAGGGACTGCTTACCAGCGGGAAGGTAAACGGCGTTCCGTGTGCTGCGCTGGCTCGCCAGATGCAGCTTGTCACGCTGGCCACGTGACCCGGAAGTGTCTGCGGACAGCGCTGGCTCCCGGCCTATAGAGTGAGATGAGCGCACAACCCTAGAGTCTGGCAAGACTGGCCCGTACGGGCAGGGGTACCTTTACCTTTACCTTAAACTACCTTGCATGGTCATTTGTGAGGGTTATCCAGGAGACAACCTATAAATACATCTGGAATTGCTGCAATTTTCTCCCCAAAATATCATGCCATGTTTCTCTTTCCATGTAGTTGACACGACTCGGGTGGCTCTGCGAGATGTAGATGAGAGTGTCCCGGGTTCCGATTACATCAATGCCAATTATATTAAGGTGAGCAGAGAAGGCCTGATGCCGGGAAGGGGAGGTCCAGAGGACTTGATCTTAACCTGCAAAGCAATGGGTGGCAAAGTAGCAGGTGTCTCTGAACATGGACAAAGGGCCTTTCGTTCTCAGCACTACTTTGTGCAGAGAGCCAGTGTGGTGTAGTGGTTAAGAGCGGTAGTCTTGTAATCTGGGGAACCGGGTTTGCGTCTCCGCTCCTCCACATGCAGCTGCTGGGTGACCTTGGGTTAGTCACACTTCTCTGAAGTTTCTCAGCCTCACTCACCTCACAGAGTGTTTGTTGTGGGGGAGGAAGGGAAAAGGAGATTGTTAGCCGCTTTGAGACTCCTTCGGGTAGTGATAAAGCGGGATGTCAAATCCAAACTCCTCTTCTTCTAAGCTGGGCAGAGAGGTAAGATATTGGGTCCTCCCAGCCCCCAACTTCAGCACTCTAAATTAGGGCAGTCCAGCTTTTCAAACCAAGTGGGCAGCAAGAGTACTTCAACATGGAACCCACAGCCCACACAGTGCCAAAATTTGATGGGAAATTAGTGCTGAGAAGCCACTAGCTAGGCTTCGGGAAGGAGGTGGGGAGACTCTAGGACCCTTCCAGAGTCTCACACCTCCTTCCCAAAGCCCAGTGCTTCAGGAAGGCAGCTGAGGGCTGCGGAGTTAGTGTGTCAAATGTTGCCAAGGGCCGCCAAAAAGGCCTCAAGGGCCACGTGTTGGACCGCCCTGCCCCTGATGCTTTTGGACTCCCAAGTCCCAATAGCCCCAACTTGCCCAGCCAAAAGCAAGGCATGATGGGAGTCGTAGTCCACCAACTTCTGGACGAGGATAGGTTCCCCATTCCTGCTTTAACTACTGCTATGCCACAGGGGTGCTCAGTTAGATCAGCTTAGTGGTCCTGGCTTCACCCAGAGGGTCATGGGAATTATTTTTAGTTTCGTTAAATTCTCCTTTTTAAACTTAAACATGTACCATTTCAGCTGTTGGTGTACAGTCGTACCTTGGATCCCGAACGCCTTGCAAGTTGAACATTTTGGCTCCTGAACGCCGCAAACCCGGAAGTGAGTGTTCCGGTTTGTGTACGTTCTTTGGAACCTGAATGTCCGACAGGGCTTCCACAGCTTCTGATTGGCTGCAGGAGCTTCCTGCAGCCAATCAGAAGCTGTGCTTTGGTTTCCAAATGTTTTGGAAGTCGAACGAACTTCTGGAACAGATTCTGTTTGACATCCGAGGTACCACTGTATAAGCATTTTTATCGTGTCAGCCTAATACTTTGACTTCTGTTCGTTTAAAAGTTTAATGTGCCAGACAATCAGATGATTTTGTTATTGTTGGAAAAATTGAGTCTTTTATAAAATTATTGGACCAGAAAGGCAATGTAAACCCACATGTAGTACAGGGAACTCTGTGACCCTAACATTATTATTATTAATAATTTATTTTATTTTATTTATTTATTTATTTATTTGCTGAAGTGATTAAACTTTTTCATTTATTATTTTATTTTACATAGGTTTTTTCCCCTTTTAAATGTGTCTGTATAGTAAAGAGGCTGTAGCTGTGGGTGTCATAATTTAATCATTAAACAAATACATTAAAATGTGGTGGGGGAAAATGATAATTTAGGGTGACATTCAACTCATTTTTACTCAGAGCAGACCTGCTGAAATTAATGGACCACACTTAGGCACGTTCACTGATTTCAGTGGGTGAAATTAATAAATTTAAATTAATTAAATGAGCACAACGAAGCTAGTCATCCATTAGAGCTTGTCTTTCTGTTCTTCCTTATACTCACCAACCTCTTTTTTGTGTTTGTGGGTGTCCCATTTCCCTTACTTACCAACACCCCCTGCCCCCCCGCCCTGTTCTAGAATGTTCTTGAAGACGGGAAGAGCTCTGAACACAGCAAAGTCTACATTGCCACCCAGGGCTGCCTCCAAACCACAGTGAACGACTTCTGGGCGATGGTCTACCAAGAGAATACTCACGTCATTGTCATGACGACCAAAGAAGTGGAGCGAGGGAGGGTGAGCCATTCAGGAGTGCGGGGGGGGGGGCTTTTTTCAGCATAAGGGCCACATTCCCCTCCCAGCAACCTTCTGAGGGCCACGTGCCAAGGAGGGAAAGGGTCAGAGGCAAAAGTCAGCAAAGCAACAAATGCGAATTTTACCTTTCCAGAGTAGGCTAGTTTCCACACGCGTGCTCCCACACCCCACTGCCCAAATGTCAAGTGGTGCTCCGATGGTGTCAGAAGTTGTGCTGTGGCTCATAACCTTTTTGGTTTGAAGTAACGGCTCGGATGAGCTGGCCAGGGCTCCCTTTTTCTTAATTTTTGTCCCCACCTCTGCATGTCAGAAAGAGCAAGTGGGTTATAATTAGCTGATGATGAGCTTGAACAGCCTCTTCAAACGGAGACTTTAAAGGGAGCCAGCGCAGAACCCAGCCGGTAATTGCCACGCTGGCTGAGAGCCTTATTAACAGCCTTGCCTCTCAAAATGCTGGTTTCATTACCAACAACGAGAAAGGGAAATCGCAGTGTTCGTAATCACTTCCTTCATACCCTCCAGCTCTGTTTGGAAACTTGTTCATAGGATGCTATCATTTTTTTTAAAATATAATTTCTTATTAGTTTTTTTAACATATCATTTTCAACAGTAATTAAACATACTTTTACATATTATTCAAATTTTTGACTTCCATCAATCCTGTCTGAAAATTTTCCAATCTAATCTCTCAGTATGCATTTCTTATCCTCCCTATTACATTTCAAACTCATAACCAATATCTCTATCTTTTTATACTTTGTAACACTTTGTATATTTCTCCTTACAAAACTTACTGTAATCCTACTAGCGTAATTTGTTGATTACAGTTGCTCTTCAAATAATTCATATAGAGTGGTGCCTCGCAAGACGAAATTAATTCGTTCCGCGAATTTTGTCGTCTTGCGATTTTTTTCGTCTTGCGAAGCACGGTGTCGGGAAAGTTTTGGAAAAGCTTCAAAAATCACCAAAGTCTTTAAAAACCTCAAAAAGGCTACCACACCGCGTTCTATGAGTTGCTCCTCGAAGTCAAGTCGCAACTGTATTAACGGTGTTAAGAAAAGGAAACAAACTTGCAAGACGTTTCCGTCTTGCGAAGCAAGCCCATAGGGAAAATCGTCTTGCGAAGCAGCTCAAAAAACGAAAAACCCTTTCGTCTAGCGAGTTTTTCGTCTTGCGAGGCATTCGTCTTGCGGGGCACCACTGTACTTCTTCCAATCTTCTGTAAATCTCTGGTCCCGCAGGTTTCAAATCCTTCCTGTCATTTTGTCCAATTCTGCATAGTCCATTAATTTCGTCTGCCATTCTTCTTTCATCGGAATTTCTTCTTGTTTCCATTTCTGGGCTAATAATACTCTTGCCGCAGTTGTTGCATATAAAAACAATTTAACATCTTGCCTATTAATGTCCTGACCTATAGGTCATAGGATGCTATCATAGCCTGCCCCCCACCCATCCACCAACCACTTTAAGCTTGTATTTTTTCCTCCTCTTTCGTGGATAACAGATAGTTAAGGGACTGTCTTATCCGGTGATGTAGCAGTCCAGGATTGTGGGAATTGAAGATCCCTTACGATTTGTGCGGCAGGGCCCCTGTCTCCAGCATCCTAGAGCTTGCCCAATCACAGCATGGAAGGGGGAAGATTTTTAGCCATTCTCACCCTTTTTGGCTGATCGGAGCCAATCAGAGAGAGAGTAAGGAAGTGAGTCAGCCAGTGAGAATAGGCTCCTGGAGTCGTTCTGGGGAAAGGTGTGCATGAGAACACCAAGGAGGAATTGTTCCATATGCTCCAAAGCTAAGCATTTGGGAACACCAGAAAAACAAGGTGCTTTCATTTCAAGAGAACGGGGTGCAAGTTCTGTTATGTACAAAGGAAACCACAACTTCCGTCAGCTTTGAGATACTGCAGCACTCCAAATCATGTGCCCACAGAAAATAGTAGACCTAGCTGAAGGGCAACACATGGAGATCTGCATTGATTATAGAGTCAGAGAATTGTAGAGATGGAAGAGACCCCGAGAGCCATCTAGACCAGCCTTTCTCAGCCTGAGGGTTCCCAGATGTTGTTGGACTACAAACTCCCATCACCCCTAGCTAGCAAGGTCAGAGCTCAGGGATGATGGGAGTTGTTGGACTACAACATCTGGGGACCCACAGGTTGAGAACCGCTGAATTCTAGACCATCCCTGTACAATACAGGAATCACAGCTGAAGAACCCCTGACAGATAGCCTTCCAGCCTCTGTTTAAACACCTCCTGTGAAGGAGAGCCTGTTTGCACTGTCCAATCAGAAAGTTCTTCCTAATCATAGCTGTCAACCGTCCCTTATTTGGCGGGAAAGTCCCCTATCCCAGCGCTGTCCCTTATTGATGATGTCCCTTAAATTTCCCAAGTTTCAAAGGAAGCAGCTCCTCTCCCCTCCCTGCCAGCCAGGGAGGAGGCAGGCTCCAACTGTGTTGCTTGGCTGCGTTGCTCACCCAATAAGGAGTCTAAGAACGACTGGGGGGTGGAGCTTGCATGCCTTGTGCCGATCAAATCGGCCGCGTTGCCTGGGGACTCGCCTTTGCTCAGCGCTTCCCAGTGGAGAGGCGACGGTGGTTTTCCTTGCTGCATCCCCTTTGCCGGGTTGCTGCACTGTGGGAACCACCGCTTGAGGCTTCATTTGGCTGCTGGCTGGGCTTTCTGCCTTTGGCCCAGAGGGGCTCAGAGGTTGAACATACCTGTGCTTGGAAAATCCCTTATTTTGGCTGCAGATCCCTTATTTTCGAGGCTGCTGGTCCCTTATTTTCAAATCTGTAAGTTGACAGCTATGTTCCTAATGCTTAGCTAGAATCTCCTTTCCTGTCATTTGAATCCACTGGTTCACATCCTTGCTTCTTAGGGCAATGGAAAGCAAGTTTGCTCCCTCTTCTATGTGAGAGCACTTGAGATATTTGAAGGTGGCCATCCCATCACCTCTCACTTTCCTCTATTCCAGGCTAAACATACTCAATTCCCTCAACCGCTCCTCATAAGGCTCCGTTTCTGGACCCTCCATCATCTTAGTCTCCCTCCTCTGCACACATTCCAATATCCTCCTTAAATTTTGGTGCCCAGAAATGGGCACAGCACGCCAGGTGGGGTTCTGACCAAGGCAGAATAGAGTGACACTGTTGTTTCTCTTGATCCTTTTGTTGATGCAGTCTGGAATTTTGCTTTTAATGGGATTTAATCTATCTCTCTCCCCCCACAGAATAAATGTTTCCGCTACTGGCCGGATAAAAACTGTGCCAAGGAATATGGTTACATCAGCGTGAGGAATGTTGGCGAACGAGAAGCTCAAGGTTATCACATCCGAGAGCTGGAGATTTCACGGATGGACAGGGTGAGAGGTCACCTCTTTAATAGCCCTTTTGCATGTGATGGTGTTTGCTTTGAGATGGCATTTTCGTCTAATCTCGCTGGATCATCTGCCTGTAGATAAACTCCCTACCTTCCAGCCTGGAAAGACCTAGGAATGAGTATACACTGTTGCCCCACAAGGGTGTGGGAAAAGTGGAAAATTCTGCAGAATTCAGAAATCCCTCTGATCTTTAAAAAAATAAAATAAAATAAAGTTTCTAGCGCCTTCAGAAAAATGAAGCTTCAGAAGAGTGCGTCTCAGCAAAGCTGGCTGCAAGCTCAACGCAATCTTTTAGCAGTTTGCATTGTGATTCCAGTGCCTGTTGCAGATCTTGCAGATCGTTCCTCCCGCAACCAGCAAAATAGAGAACCCCGCCGAGCTAAATAATACAAAGTAGGAGCATAAGGCAAGCTGTTTTCAGTTTTGCATATGGCACACAGGTGACAAAATCTTCTCCACTCAATCCATGTGCCTCCTGCTGTCCCCTACTCTCCCACCTCACAGATGTTCATGAATCAGTGGTGTCGGGCAAGAGAGTGTATATGCGCTTCTATATATCCATTGAACGCTTGAAACTGATCTCCTGTGGAAGATGCAATCATGGTATACAACTTCCTTTGCGCCAGAGTTTAGTACCTGTGCAAACATTTTCCTAGTTTTGTCCCCCACCTCTCCAATTCCTTGACAAATCACCCCACTACCCATAACACTTAACAGTTCCCACTGCCACTATTTCCCTAAACCAGGCAGATCAGTGTTTCTCTTCCCTGACCTACACTACTCAGAGCTGCATATGCATTTAGCCTTACAAAACTATCTCCTCCTCCTCCTCTCCAATGTTGCAGGAAGAGCGCCCCAGGCAGATCAAGCACTTCCAGTATTTCAGCTGGCCAGATCACGGGGTCCCCAATGAGCCGGGGGGAGTCCTTGGCTTCCTGGATCAAGTCAACAGGGCCCAGAGGAGCGTCCCGGACACTGGGCCTATCGTAGTGCACTGCAGGTGAGTGGCCAGGAGGGGGCGATGCTTGGCTGAACTGGCTGCGGAGGTTGGCAGTGTTGGGCATTTGCCGGAACTCCTCCAATGAATTTTCTATGGATTGCTCAAGTAATAATATCAAAGCACTCTCACTTTGTATGCTCTAGATTTTCTAGGTTCCCCACTCTTTTAAAGCCATCTTGTGGGAGTGAGTTCCATAGTTCCACGCCGCATGAAGGACTTTCTGTTATCTATCGGGGATCTACGCTCCTCCCTTACAGATTATAAACCAACATAGAGAATGTGAACATCTTAAGATGTCAAGAACGGGTGATGGGAGGAGAAAACAGTGATTCTGGGATGGTTGGAGTTCAGTGGGACTGGGGGGTGGTGGTGGCATATAATTACAAGGATTACGATCCTTGCGTCAAGAATCCCATCGGCGCTGTTTTTATGCCTGCTTTGTAATCTCCTTAATGGCAGTAATCTCAATGTTAAACCCTCTAGAGAAAAGGGTTTAAATGTTTGCCGACTGATTTTTTCCACCCACCCTTTCCTTGAATGTTGTCAAAGTTGCCTGATGTGCGCTGGAGTCTACCAACTTCCTGGGGGTCCCGGCCTTCCTCTACCTGTTGTAGCCATTCTCACCTCGGCTTACCTATGGGCTAATGTGTGCGCTGGGCTGGCGGTGACTTTGCCCTCCTCACCTCTCTCTTTCCTCCCCCAGTGCCGGGATAGGACGAACGGGCACCATCATAGTGATAGACATCTTGGTGGACACTATTCACAGGCAAGGTAAACAATAGAACTTTGAGGTTCTCTCCCCCTTTAATTCTAAGGAGGATCTGGGGCATGCAGAATGTTTAATGCTGTCTTGTAAATAATAGGCACTCGCCTATAGTGAGCTGGTACTGCATCCAGGCGACCAGTTAGCGGAGAAACTTTGCTTTAGGTCACAAACTACTAACTGCTCTGGGCAAACAGGCTCTCTGGGTGTTTTCAGGGCTGAAAACTCTGAAGATGCCTGACCAGTGAGCTTTTATACTATAGACTTGACCCCAGAGCTTGCCCCCATTCTTGTTCCTCTGGAGCTTGCCCTCTTCCTTTCATTCTTGCTGGCCGCCATGCAGTTAGTTAGGCATTCAGCAGCTTTTTGTGTTCCAAAAGGGATTTCAAGATTGTTCCGGATGATCCTAGGGACAAGGAACTTGAATTTTAACTACATCATTATGGGAAAGTTTAACACTTCCCACCTGGGCGCGATTCTCATTTTATAAATGAGTTGGCCTTTTGGAGTCGCTCACAAGAGTGGTCACCAACAGACTGTCACTGTTTTACGGAAGGGATTTGATCATCTACTGTAACTGTTAAGGCTGCACGTTGAATTCAAGGGATGAAAACCCTCTGTTGTATAACCTCCCCAAAAACAAATTGGGATGAATGCTCAGTAAAGACAGGGCATAGTCTTGACCAGTGCTGGATTTACGTATAAGCTAAACAAGCTATGGCTTAGGGCCGCACTCTCTTGGGGCCCCTCAAAAAATTTAAAGGGAAAAAACAACTGGATGTACATTTCCAAAATATAAGATAAAAAATAAATAAAATAAAACCTATGTACAGCAACAGTGTTTTGTGTTGTGTAGGCTCCTATTTGTTATGTGCAAATGGCTTTTAGGTCCCTATTTTAGGTACCTATTAGGTCCATAAATTACCATATAGCATATATTCAACACGAAAAACAGCGACAATTTGTTGTTGACAAAGGACAGCTGGACATATAAAGGGCCCCATTACCTTCAGTAGCTTAGGGCCTCATCAAACCTAAATCCAGCCCTGGTCTTGACTACTGATTAAGCTATGTGCAAGGAAATCTGAGTGAATATTCAAAGAATATATCATCTGAGGTTCCTGTGTGTCCATCGTAATCTTCTTTTTGGCTCATATGCATATCCCTTCCCTAAAACATTCGTTTCCACCAAATAATCTTGGGAAATGTTGTTTTCTTACACTTTCTTTAAGAGGAAGCCATCTTGGCTGTATGGGTGGTCCCCCAATTCTAAATCTGCCGCAGGGGAAAACGCTCTCTTTCCACATCACACTTTTAAAGCACATGGCTCCCCCCCCCCCCGCAAAAGGATCCTGGGAATTGTAGTGTACAGAGCTGCAATTCCCAGCACTCTTGATGGATGACAGTTCCCAGGACCCTTTGGGGGAGAAGCCGCATGCTTTAAGTGTACAGTGCGGATGTGGCCTAAGGCTGCCCCACCTTTCTTGCCCATGAATAGGCTTGGACTGTGACATCGATATCCCCAAGACCATCCAGATGGTACGGAGGCAGCGCTCTGGCATGGTGCAAACAGAAGCGCAGTACAAGTTCGTCTACATGGCTGTCCAGCAGTACATTGCCACAGAACAAAAGGAGCTGGAAGAGGAACAGGTAGGGGGCGTCCCATTTGCCCACCAAAAGAGGGGCGGTTTTGACCTGAAGAGTGCTTAGGGATGGGACTGGGGACTGGATCACACCAGGCCAGTTTTGGAATCAAAGGAATGGTGGGAGGAACCAGCTAGGGAAAGGAAGAAGGCTCAGAGACTGGGGAGTGGTGGTGGGATGACCATGGGTGGTCAGAGAGAGAAGTCTAGGAGGAGGAGGTGTCAGAAGCTGAAGAGGTAACAGGGCTTAGTGAGCTGGGAGAGTCTGTGGCAGAGAGAAGCCCAGAATCGGAGGGAGAAGCTGAATCAGGAATGTTGGGGAAAGGGATGCCAAGAGGCAGATATGAGTCCAGCTGTTGAAGAGTCACGGGTGTCTCCCAGTCCTGCTGCAACCAGCTCCCCTCCTCTCTGGTCTCCCAGAACCAGAAGAGGGCTGAAATGGGTAAAGACGACGTTGGCTTAATGCAGATGCAGTCTCTGATTGCTTAGGAAAAACTCTGAAGAGGAGAGGACTTAGACTGCTGTGGGGAGGTGGGGACTTTCAGTCTTGGCAACTGATCCATGGGGCAAGACCTGTGCTCATTAGGCCTGACACTCCGCCAAGTCTGTGCACATCATGCTCTTGCCAATAAAGAGTTAATTCCAACTTTCAGGGAGTGATTTACTGCTGGCTCGCTCCTGTCACCAATTGCTTTCCGAGCTCAACTCCCAAGGTGTTTGCTCTGAAAGCATTTAAACCAGAGGTGGGGAACCAGACTCCCATCTCCCATCAGCCCCCAGCCAGCATGGCCAGTGGCCAGGGATGGTGACAGCAACATCTGGAGGGCTGTAGGCTCCTCATCTCTGAACTAGACTGTCACTTGCCTGTATTTCCCTGAGCTACCTCTATCACAGCTCTGCCTTTTTTTAAAATGCAGGAATAAAGAACCTGCAGCTCTTCAAAAGTTGCTGGGCTCCAACCTCCACCAGCCGCAGTTGCATCCAGTGCTGGTCCTACTCAGAGTAGACCCATGGAAGTTGGTGGACGTTGGCTAACTCGGGCACAGTGATTTCCATGAGTCCGCTCTTGAGTAAAAGCAGGTGGGATGCTGCCCAGTGAACCCAAGTTAGTCTCGTCCATGAATTTCAGTGGGTCTACTCTGAGTGAGAGTAGGTCACATTTTAGAAATGGCCTCAAAGGTTGGAGGAGCTATGGAACCAATCAGGTCTGTCCGGTTGTCCGTTTCAGAGAAATACGAGGAAGGAGAGAGAGTACTTGAATATCCGATACCTACCGATGGAGCAGCCCAGAATGAAAGCTCGTCCCCCGTCACCAAGAGTCCAGACAGGGTAAGGTGGAGCTGTGCGGAAGAGGGCCTTATTTGAAGGCAAAGCGGGGTGGGGTAGGGGAGTTGGGGAGACAGCGTAGAATTGAAGCCTTGGCCCAACATGAATTCAGAGCAAACTTTTGGCTACAGAGAACATTATTTCCAGAGTTGGGGATGCCAGAGGAAATTGTGAGAGGGCAGAAATACAAATTGTTGTGAGCAGCATAGCATCCAATTGGCATGTTGGGAGGGTGGGAAGCCAACAGTTCACCTCCATGCCCAAAGGCCTCCCAGCAAACAGTACTGTTAATGAACCCAATCATTACCTCAGTTCTTTGTAAGATTTAGTGTTTATTTTGTTGTTACATTTCTATACCACCCTTCCTTTAAGGAATTAAAGGTGTCTTACCTGCTTCACCTCTCTCTCCATTTCATCACTGCAACAACCCTGTGGTAGGCTGAGAGGCAGTGACTGGCCCAAGGTCACACATACACACACCCCGGTGGGCGAGAGGGGGATTTGAACCCTGGTCCTCCAACACTCTACCCATTACACCGCACTGCCTCTCAAGATGAGAATGCTTTCATAGACAGGGGAAGCAGCAGCAAAACAGCCATGTGGTTACAGCTAGATAATAGATGTGAAAGACTTTGAACACTCGAAAGCCCCCAAGAAATGCAAAATGTGATGTCCCAGGCAGGCATATTAGCTGGCTGTTTTTGCAAGACTTCTTCTCTTCTCCACACCCTGCTTCCAGAGGTTTTTCTTTGGGGGGGGGAGGGGGGTTGGAGGATGGGAGTTTGCTCTTGGTTGATGTGTTCCAGCCCCCTTTCTCCTGTTTTGCGCAAGACGAGGGTTGAGCTAGATGCCCCACTAGGCCCCTTCCAACTCTACAATTCTGTGTTTCTACAGAGTCGACGAAGAATCTGCCTCCGTATACGAGAACCTCAGCGTTAAAGCCACAAAGGTCTCAAGTTTAAGCAGCTCAGGGAGATAGCAGCTTCAGAGAGGGACGTGTACTTGGTGGCTATAAAACAGGTCTGTGGTTTGTTTGTTTAACTTTAACGCTGTTTTAAGGGATGAGTGGGATCTGCAACAAAAATGTTGCAGCGTGGAATGTTCCTGTTCTGTATGCCGTAGAGAAAGAGAGATTTCCCCTCCCCCCCTCCTCATCACCTGATATTCACTGCCCCGTTCACAGGAGACAAATTTTAGGCAGGGGGCATTTTGAAAGGTTTTCTTTTAATTTTCAGTGGTGTGGTTTGGTTTTGTTTTAAAACTCTCTGAAAAGGTTTGGAGGTTATTACTGGTAGTACCATAGTCTAGCTTTCTTTCTTTTTTTTTTTTTAAGGCGATCCAGTTTGAGCGGAACTGCTTCTGGCCGTTTTGCAATCCCTCTCGTCCACTCTGCCTGCCCAAATGCCCCAGGCATTTTATATTTGAGGGCAGAGAAGGAAATGGTATCCACCGCAGCCCACAGATCAGAGATGGGGGACCTCAGGCCATGGAATCAAATGTGCCCCTTCCAGACTCGCTTGCATAACCCTCAGAATTCCCCCTGGGCAACGCCCCCTCTCAGCAGACCACACCCCCTTCCACACAGGCCACACCCCTCCCCACAGGCCACAGTCCCTCCCCGGCCCTATTCCACATCTTCTTTGTCAGGCTGAAAGTACCCTTGCAACTCTGATGGTGCCTCTTGTTTGCCTGCATGGAGGATAGATAGGGGGTTGTGTGTGGGGAGATTAGCCTATCCCACCAAGATAGAATTCTGCTTTCATTGCTCCGCTCACCATGTGGCCCTCAGAAGGTTTCCCCAAAGGGGATGTGGCCCTTGAGCTGAAAAGCATTCCCTTTCCCTGCCAGAGAGAGAGAGAGAGAAAGAGATATGTCATCTCAATGTGGACTAGTGGCATGCAGGGGCGTAGCTAGGGGTGGTGAGGTGGGCCCCCGCCAGGGACGCGGGCGATTGTGGGCCCTTATGGATTATGCCCATAAATATAAATACAGTGGTACCTCTGGATGCGAACAGGATCCATTCTGGAGCCCCATTCGCATCCAGAGCAGAACGCAACCCGCGTCTGTGTGAGTCACGATTTGCTGCTTCTGCACATCTGTGTGACGTCATTTTGAGCGCATGTGCAAGTGGCGAAACCCAGAAGTAACGTGTTCCGTTACTTCCGGGTCACTGCGGAGCATAACCTGAAAACGTTCAACCTGAAGCGACTTTAATCCAAGGTATGACTGTATTGATTATTGCCTCATAAGAAATGGTTTTAAATAGAGGGTGAATGGAATGGGTGGAGGAGAGGCGGAAAGAAGAGCTAATTTGTCCATGGCTAGGGGGTGCGATCTGGGCGGTTCTGCCAGGGGCAGAAGATCACCTGGCTACAGTTCTGGTGGCATGACCTTAAAACAAAGCAATGCACTTGACCAAAACAGAGACACTTGCTATTCTGTCTCTGTTAATACTGTGATGTTCAAATTGCTGGGAGGCAGAGCAACCTCCATTGGTTCTGCTGTGTGATAGGCCGGCCCCCATCAGGCTTCCTCTCCCTTCCACTGTCATCTAGGGGGCAGCTGCTTCAGTGGGAGAGATAGCAAGCAGAAGGCTAGTTTCATCTGCGTTGCTGGATGCTCTGGGAGTGTTTTTTGGTTGAACAGTGGGGTACAAACGCTCAGAGCAAATAAATAAAGCGAATACCTCTTTCCCCCTCCCTTTTTTCCTGCCCTTATATTAGGGGTTGGCGAGAGCCGCATCTGCACGTCCTCCACAACCTTCCATCACCACCTATTGCTCGTTTTCACCACTTGAACCTTGGATTCAGCACAGAAAACCAAAGATTGACCCAGCATGCCACCTGTCAAGGGAGGAGCTGTCTATGCTTTAGGAACAAATCTTGGCCTAACTTATTCAGGAGAGAGACAAACTTTCCCCCCGTCATGCACAAATTCGCTGATGCCGTTTATCTGCAAGTGCCTCTGGATGTCTGTAATAGAACCTACGAATCTCCTTTTAACTTGTTTTTTTTATAGATATATAGATATATATATAAGCACAATAAGCTAATGAGTGTCCTTTTTTGTGGGGTGGGGTGGAGAGGGGAAAGTTGTTAAAACGTCACAGAAATAGGAGGCAAAAGCACATTGTTGTGCGTGGAGTGTGGTATGGTTTTCTCCTCAGTGGGGTAGGGTTTACTGAGCTGCAGAGGAGAGAATTGTAGTAGTAGTAGTAGTAGTAGTAGTAGTAGTAGTAGTAGTAGTAATAATAATAATAATTTATTATTGATACGCCTGCCACCTGGCTGGGTTTCCCCAGCCACTCTGGGCGGCTCCCAACAGAAGATTAAAAACACGATAAAAGATCAAACATTGAAAACGTCTCTAAACAGGGCTGCCTTCAGATGTCTTCTAAAAGTCAGATAGTTGTTTGTTTCCTTGACATCTCATGGGAGGACGTTCCACAGGGCAGGTGCCACTACCGAGAAGGCCCTCTGCCTGGTTCCCTGTAACTTCACTTCTCACAGTGAGGGAACTGCCAGAAGGCCCTTGGAGCTGGACCTCAGTGTCCGGGCTGAATGATAGGGGTGGAGACGCTCCTTCAGGTATACTGGGCTGAGGCCGTAGTATGTTGCAGCAACTCTTGTTTGTGATTTTTGCTCATTTTGCCCATGCCCCCCAATTGTGGCTCCCTAGTAGGCTATGATCGGATAGCTAACAGAACGATCCAGGCTGATCATGGCTTACTAGGGAGCTACCGGCATCCTTCCACACACCTTGTTCAGAAACAGCTAGAAGTTGAAGCTTCTTTATTGTCTTATTCTGCCAGGAGAGGAGCAAAATAGGAGTAGATTGGGTGTCACACTTCAGTGTGATGCTTGCTTCAGAGAAACCACATTATGGCAGAATCGGAATTGTAAAGTTGGAAGGGACCCTGTGGGTCATCTAGTCCAACCCCCTGCCATGCAAGATTCACAGTTAAAGAATCCCTGGCAGACAGCTGCCCCCAACCTCTGTCTAAAAACCTCCAATGAGGGAGAAGTCCATCACCTTCAGAGCAGCTCTGGCTTACTGTTATGACTGAACATGGCTGTGCTACCTTACAGTAATGCCACCCCTTTAGTCACTGCCTGGAGAAAATGCTAAATTGTGCCATCATTTTGAGAATATTAGGAATGCTTCTCTATGTCAACGAGAGGTTTTTTTAAACAGGGTACCTTTTTCCCCACACCAGGGATGGCTAACATCTGTGGCATTCCAGATTTTGCTGGACTCTTAAATCACACCAGCCCTCTGACCACTGACCCCATCTTGGGCTGGCAGCAGCTCGGGCCCTGACCTCTTTTTTTCTTGCTCTTCAAGATATGGCAACCCTATCTTAGTTGTCTTTTTAAAAAGAGTAGTTTCGAGGTGAGAAACTTCCAAATTAAACCTTGAATGCTTGCAGTAAACAAAGGGGCCATGCTGAAAGCTGTAAACGAACACTTAATGGGTGCAAGTTGTCAGGAGCTCGTCCTACTCTCAAGTAGGACCGCCATGTGAAAGACAACAATCCCATGGCTGCAATCACGGAGCAGGAATTCAACATAAATGTCACGGCATTTGCAAGACACCATGTTCCCCTGCCTTTGGAAAAGGTTAGGGGGGAGTCTCTGCGAGTTGCTTCAGAGCTGCGATGTCTTGCTGGTGCGTTTTGTTTCTGTGTGCTTAAAACAGAGTTGGGAAAAATGACCACTGCTAGCTTAAAGGGTCATGATTTGTTTGCTGATGTCTCAATACAGATCAGGCTTAAGAACCCACTGGGTGGTGATGGTTGGGAGGGAGGGATTGTTTAATCAAAACACGAGTTTTCAAAAGTTCTTTCTTCTAGAAAATCTTTACGAAAGTTAGTCGCTTGCTGAGGAACCTTCTGCGTGTGGCAAAGAATTTGCAGTGTGTGTGTGTTGTACAGTGTATTCATGGTGCATTCTCCTAGGCTAGTCATACCAGTGATAAACCACGAAGGAACCTCATTGACACCCATCTAGCAAGATGAGCCCTGCTTGATTGGGCCAAAGCGTGGCCATCTAGTCTAGCCTCCTGTTCTCACAGCAGCCAATCATATGCCCCCAATGGGAAGACCACAAGTGCAGGTAGCCCCTCGTAACCTCTTTAAAAACCATTCTCTGCTTGTTTTCTCTCTCTTTCAATTGCGCACTGCTACCCACCCTTTGAAAAAAAAAAAAATCCTGCAAAACACCAACACATATTTAAGTCAATTTAAAGAAACTGCCATATTTGTAGAATACCACACACCATCTATATAAAATTGAAATGTTTAATAACACATATAAAATTAAATACGTTCTCTTCCCACTCCAAGATATAATTGCGCATAAGCTTCATTCAAGCTGTTGGTGAAGGGAGTCAGTCTCTGGGGGAAAAGTCCCCTTTTCATTGTCCTTTCACATATAATGGGCCCAGGGGACAACACTGTGCAATTTTTAACAGTTGGCCTCTTATTCCTGCTGATATGATAGGCGTGGGGGGAGGCATCATTCCAGGTAACTCTTTGGTGGGCATCCTTCGGAGCAGCAGGTGTCTACAGTTTCTGGTCTTGACCTTGCATTGCTCTCTGCATTGCCATGGGAGTCACAAACTGGGTTAACACAGAAGAACCCACAGGGTGTATGGAACGGCAATGTCTTTATTTAAAAGTTTCCAGAGGTTCCTCAAAAGAGCAGCATGAGCATGTTGAGAGAGCAGAAAGCACCGATGTCCGAACTCAGAAAGCCAGACCGTTGGACCACCTAGAGTCTAGAGTTGTCCGCTGTGACAGTCTTAGGCCAAGAGGGTTTTGTTCAACTTGGAGGTACAAAATACCTCCTGCGTGCAAAATATGTGCTCTGCCCACTGAAACACAGTCCCTCCCTCTCTGGGGCTCACCCTAGGAGGTCAAGAATGTCACTCATCGTTGGCGCTGGGGTGGTGGTTGGAGGCGGTGGCACATAGTGTGGCCTGCTCAGCGTGTAAGTCCTGGTGAAGCAGCGGAGGTTGCCCGTCTTCAGGGCGCACTGAACCGGCCACAGGATGATGCAGAAGAGAATGATGATCAAGGCTGAGAGCAGCATGATGCGCTTCCAGTCATCGCACATGTCGCAGCGGGCAAGCCTGCTCATGAAGCTCTCTGGGGGCACCACAGGGATTTCGGGTTTGCTGGGGGCGACGTCGATGCTGATGCAGGGCTCGGCACTCTCTGGGTCGGACGACTGCCTGCAGCAGAGGCGAGTGCCCTCCATCCAGATCATTTTCTCCTTCTGTAGCTCGGGAGGCAGGGTGGCCAAGAGTTCCTTGCTCGTCTGGAGGCCCGGAGGCCCTTCCAGAGGGATCTCGGTGATCTGGCGGCAGAAGGGGCAGGGGAGCTGGTCCTCGACTCGGTGAGGGGGGAGGGTGGCGGTCAGGCGGGCCAGGCACTCCAGGCAGAAGGTGTGTTGGCACTGGAGGACCTTGGGCGTCTTGAAGAGGTTGTCATAGGTGTTGAAGCAGATGGAGCACTCGATGGGGGAACCCGGCTGCGGCGAGGTGGGGGAGCCCAGCCGAACCTTCCCGGAGGTGGGAGAGCACACCGGCGAGCACACGCGGGGGCGGCCTTCCGAGGCGGGAGACGTGATCACGATGGGGCTGAGGGGGACAGGGATCTCGTGCGGGGCAGCCGGGACGGGGCTGGTGGGGCTGGTGGGAGGAGAGTTGGGCACTTCTGTGTGCCACACGTGGGAGAAGCAGGACATGACGGAATCTGCAGAGAGAGAGAGAGAATCTGTATTAAGGGAAGCCAAGACAAGGAAGAACCAAAATGGGATGGGTAGCTACGTGAGCTTGCATTCCCTCTTGTGGGGCGGGGGTGAAGCACATGCAAATTTTAGCTATGTACGTTAGGCTAGTTTCTACACAAACACACTCCTCTCTGTCCTCAGGCAAGCAAGAAGCAATGTCAAAGCGCAAGGGTGCAAACCAGCCACACAAAAGCACTCAAGGAAGGTTTGAAGCAGGGTAGGGTGATGGGTAGCCTGGGAGAAAGTTGCAAGGGCCACACAGAGAGGCCTGGAGGGCCACATGTGGCCCCCAGGACTGACATTCCCCACCCCTCATCTATACACACTATATATATATATATATATATATATATATATATATATATATCCGTAATGGAAATGACACTCTAATCCAGTTTTAGGACAAATATTACTAGCTTTAAGGAATTCTGTTTTTCCTGAAAGGAATTAGACTAATTGGCAGAAGAGAGCATCTATCAACAGCTATAGACTGAGGGGGCTGCATCTATATACCTCTGAATTCCAATTGCTGGGGATGTATGTACACACACACACACACACACACACACACACACACACTGCCTGTGGGCAGAAGCAACCAGCTGACCCCTACTGGAATCGGAATACTGGGGCAAGATGAAGCTTTTGGCTGATCCAGCAAGGCTCTTGCATTTATATATTTTACTTAGACACCTCAGACTACTGTTAATGCCACCACCTCCCGTCACTTGCAGTTTCTCCACCCTTAAGCAGGGAAGAGACAAAGCAGGGGAGGCTGGCCGAATAGGAGGGCACTGCTACAACCAACCTCAGCCAGTCCCCCACCTGCCTGCCTGCCTGCCTGCCTTCTTCTAGCCGGACAGGGGGTGACTGTGCCTGACCATGGCTCTGGCTCCATCCACTGCTGGCCTCCTCACCTTCTGCCCTTCCAGTTCCACCAGCCACCAGCCACCAGGGGCACAGCCACCGATAGAAAAGTGTAAAAACATACCCCAGCCGGTGCTTCTCCTAAGCTGAGAAGAGAGAAGTGTTGCCGTCTCCATGAAATCCACAAGGGATCTCTCTAAGGTTGGCTATCTAGCCTGCTCGGTGGTGGAGGAGGAGGAGGAAGTGGCGACGGGCAGCTTGCGCAAGAGCCTAAGACAGACAGACAAGTCCATTCAGAGCTGGAGGTAAGTACTAGCACCAGAGAGCTAAACACAGGTCTCAACTATTTAGGTGGGCAGGAAGGCACACGGTGGGTCTTGAACCCATAGTTTGCAAGCCACAACAGATCCCTGTGGTGCTTACAGCGCCACTAGTGGGTGGAGGCTGGTACTGCAGTGGCCAGTTCAGCAGGGATCACCGGCTAGAAGAAGCCAATAGGGTTTGGGGGCCTGGCATTTTCTGTCTTTGAAATAACAGCTGGCCCTGGACTTGCCCATCTCTGTGCTGCCTGGAACTTCTGGGAGTTGTAGTTCAACGCTGCTTGCCTGGGCAGCACTTTGGGGAAGGTTCTCATCTCATCCTAAGGGACAGGAAGAGTTTTGCTTGTGCTCTTAGCCCCAGTTCTGGCAAGCCCGTCCCTGTCCACTAGTTTACGGCCAAATTAAACCTTATTTAATAGGCTGGGAGTTTGCGTAGGCAAGATTATGACTGTGTCTTAACGTAGCCAGCTTCTGTCACATATACACACACACTCTTTCCCGTTTCCAACAAAACGTTAAAAGGGTGTCATCTGACAACAGTCCAGTTCCTAGAAGCCTGGTGTAATAAAGCTATAGTGTTAGGCACTTCCAAAAAGGAAGCCAGATGAGACTATGGTCCTTTCCTGGGGAAAGACCATGGCTGGGTAGCATCTGCTTTGCATGCAGAAGTTCAATCCCAGGTAGAGGCTGGGAATATCCCCTGCCTGAAACCCTGGAAAGCTGCTGCCAGTCAGTGTAGGGATCAGTGAGCTAGATGGGCCAAAGGTTTGGTTTGGGAGGGCTTCCTCCTAGAGTCGTTTAAATCTCACTTCCTAGAAGGCCAGAAAGGAACGTGGGAATTAACGACAATCAAATTCTTGCAACAATTTGATAACTCAAACTTGGGCTGCATATGTTGCTAAACTACAACTCCCACCTGCTAAGCTTGCTGGGGCTGATGAGAGTTGTAGTTCCCATCCTTCCCAATAATTAAATTCTTTGTTTTTCTTTTGCACTCAGAAGATCTACCTGGCTGTTTTTATGCTGTCTTTTCTCCATGGAGCTGAGGCTGAGCGATATAGTTCTGTTTCCCCCTTCCCCACCTTTTTATCCCCACAGCAACCCTGCAAAGCATGGAAGGCTGGGAGATTACGATTGGCCAAAGGTCACCTGGCAGCTTCATTGGAACCCAGGTCTCCTCACTTGTACCTCTTGCCTGCTACCACACTCGGCTTGCCCTGTGCAAATCCAGGAAACTTTAAACAAAGCTCGTGCCAAGTCACAGCAACTAGTCCTCTTTAGACATCTGGAAGAATTAGGCTGTGTTTTAAAAACATCCAGTGAGGTGTCTAATGGGACAGGCTCCCTGCGATCAGGTGAGATGCTCAGAGCCCTGAAGCGAGGAACACTAATTCCCATCTACAGTACTCATGGAACTAGCTCAACCTGTTTTTGAGGCTAGGCTGAGCTGGGAATAATTCAAATTCAACCAGGAGGATTGAGTCACCCCAATTCAATGGAAGCAAAATGTGCTGCATGCTGCGGCTCCAGGTTAATTAATCTGCACCCGTTTGCTTCTGCCTGTTCATGTGCCTCAGTCACATGCCAATTCCTGGAAGAAGATGCCACTATAGCCCCTGGCATGGCAGGTTTTACCTTACCCAGAAGCAATAGCAAGGACTCCTACGCACTCAAGTCTAGCCCGCATTAAGTAACTTGGGAGATTTGGGCTAAAAGCTTGATGGCAGAGTTGCTCAGATCCTGCCTGTTTCCCATTGAGGCATCTGGTTGGCCACTGTGCAAACAGGATGCTGGACTAGATGGGTCTCTGGCCTGACCCAGCTTCAAGGCAAGAGTACCTCCGATTACTAAACACTGGAGACAGAGGTAAATGAATGGGACTTGTGACCAAGTATTCCCATTTTATTCAATGCAACAATTATGTGAGGTAGGTGGATTTTACAGCCGTGTGAAGATTTGAACCTGGATTCACCTATTCCTACCTCGACACCATATTGATTCTGTCAGATGTCTTTAAAGGACGTGCAACATATGAGAATTTATCCTGGAGAAGCTCATCCCTCTTGCGTCTGCATGAATCAATACATCAGGCTTGACTCAGCCTAATCAGTGATTCACACCCAGTTAGGTGACTCATACAGAGATGCAGCAGGGAACCTTCTCCGAGGGCATGCGATCAATTTCCAACTCTGAACTCAGAATTAGTGCATGGATCTCATGCTCAGTGCAGAGGCATGTGACAGAATCAGCTGTGGCCCCACACGAGCAGAATTGGAAAGAGGCAATGTCAGAGCAGTGAATCACAAAGAGAAGCAACAGGGAAACTCCCAATATGGGTGGGTTCTCCAAGTCCCAGCATGTGTCTGTTTTGCTTGCGGCAGATCCAGCAAGAAGTTTGGGAATGATCAGAACAGACTGTGAACCAGCTTTTGCAAACTCCATGCACCAGACACCCAGAAAACCAGTGTGGTAGATGGGTTAGCATGTTGGATTAGGAGCGGGGCACTTGCTCAAGAACAATTTACCATTTCTGCTGAGGATCTGATATATGGAAATGGCAACAACTGCATTAAATGGAGGGGGGGGCAGAATCTGATTGCACGTCTATGAGGACTTCACACTGTGTGGATGCAGCACAGAACGTGCATGCAAGAACAGCGCCGAGCCCCCCAAAACCTTGCTGCCCTCGGCTCCTTTGGGTGGAAGTCAGAGATATAAATTTAATAAGTAAAACAAACAAATGCAATAAATAAAACTGCTGTGTGGAAGCAGTTGGCCCCTGCTGGCCCCACTTCAAATCCGTATTGCAGGGATGGACATTTTGACAGGTGGACAGAACTTCCCACCAGTCCCTTCGTTGTCCCTCTGCACCACTGTTTCCCAAACTCGGATCTCCAGCTGTCGTTGGACTACAACTCCCAACATCCCTCGCTAGCAGGACCAGTGGTCAGGGATGATGGGACTTGCAGCTGGAGACCCAAGTTTGCAAAACACCTCTCTGCACTCTCAACAAAACACCTGCAATGAAAGCAATGGCTATGATCCAAGGACAGGGTTCGTTTTAATCTACGCTGGAAAGCAGGTGGGTGGAAGACGGTCTTGGTATATAAGGCAGCTTCCTGTGTTCTTTCCCTTTACAAAGCCCACCTAGTTCGGTATTGCCTGCACTGACTGGCAGTTGCTCTCCAGGGATTTAGGCAGGGAGTCTTTCCCAGACCTGCCTGGAGAATCTGAGACCACCTTTTTATTATTGACAGTATGAAATTTGTACACCACCCTTCATCCGAAGATCACAGGGCAGTTCACAACATAAATATACAAAATGAGAACACGAAATACCAGTTTGGAAGATGAACACCACACACACACCAATTTTCTGGCCTTACGCTCTTCTGCATGCAAAGCAGATGCTCTGAGAGTTCACTACGGCCCTCCTTGAAAATAAATCTTCCTTTGCATGACAGGCCTATGAAATACGAAAGATATTCCCACCCTTTGCCCCCTATCCTGTGCCTGATGTGTCAATTTCATTCCTACTCCATGGCAGGCGGCTGTTGGCCTGTCTCAGTCTGGCAGGTAGTTTGGACCCATCGCCTCCCTGCATCAACATCCTCCTCTCTCCTTCTGATGTCACTCAATTGCCACACTTGGGATGATGGCAGGATGTTTGTCTCAAAAGTGTCAGGAGGTGGAGTCACCGAAAGCCCAACGCTCAGAGGTATATTTTGGGTTGCTGCCTCCGAGGCCTTTCCAGAAATTATACTTCTTCCGGGAGTGGTTTTATCTTATCTGCTTTGCAAAACTACGCCAGAATTTGCATTCCACACCCTTGCTCCCAAGAGAGGCCCGGTTGCCTCAGGAAAGCGTTCACCGTTAGGAAAATTAAATTTCAAAGCCCCACACATCTCTCTTGGTTCCGCTCATTACTTAAGCTCAAGCCCTTTGCCCCATCCACCGCAGAAAACATTTCCGATCGCAGGCTCTTTCTCGCACAACTTTGCATCAGTTCTGTTGAGGATATTATTAGATAATAACCTTAATTCTGGGTGCAGGCTGAAGAACAGTAACACACCAAAGGCTACCTTAAAAACTCTGTGGCAGAACTGGGATGTGATGAAGTTTTTCTTCCGGTGGATTGGGCCCCATAGATTACCAGGAGAAGGGGAGCCATTTGGATTTGGGGGGGGTCCCTCTCCTCGGGCCCTAAAAGTTCCCATGGCAACCTTGAAGTTGGTTTGGTCTTTTCTGCTGACCCAGAAGTTAGGAGAAAGCAAAACATCAACTTACCTGTCTGAGTGTGCAAAATCTTTGAAGTAGTTCTGTTCCTCTTCACGGCATGCTGGTATGCTTCCCTGATATAAACCTTCCCAATACGCTGCTCTTAACTTGTCCTGGTGCCTTCTCAAAGGACACCATCCACACCACTGGCCACTGGGCCAATTACTCAGGTGTCTTTTATACCTTCTGGTCTAGCAGGATGACTTACCTGATCAGCATTACCTGTCTCTCCTGATTGTCAGGCAAGGCCTGCGTTGTCATTGGCCGGCTTCGCCCAGAGGGCGGGGCTTCCAGTGTTGACAAACAGGACCGGCTGGAGCAGCTTCTGAAGAGAAGAATCAAAGTTCCTGAGAGCCCTGCCCACTTCGTGGAAGTTTTGTCCTTTTGGAGATCTGGCAAAGTAAATACTTTTTTGTTCCGGTTTCAAGCAGCTCAGCGAAGGCAATGGACCTCTGGCATATATATTTTCTGGTGCTTTCAGGCCCAGAGTTAGATCTGTTGTGTCTATGCCACCATTTAGAAAGAAAAGAGAACTTTGCGCCTTTTCATTTAGAAAGGTTTATGTTAATCAACAAAAACCTCACAGCAGTTTACATGAAATGTATAAAATATTTGTTAAAATACCGATTCATACCCTCCAACATTTCTCTGATGAAAATAGTGACATCCTATTCCATAATACAGTGGTACCTCGGGTTAAGTACTTAATTTGTTCCGGAGGTCCGTTCTTAACCTGAAACTGTTCTTAACCTGAAGCACCACTTTAGCTAATGGGGCCTCCCGCTGCCGCTGCTATGCGATTTCTGTTCTCATCCTGAAGCAAAGTTCTTAACCTGAGGTACTATTTCTGGGTTAGCAGAGTCTGTAACCTGAAGCATATGTAACCTGAAGCGTATGTAACCCGAGGTACCACTGTAATAGTAGTAGTAATAATCATCTTATTATTATACCCCACCCATCTGACTGGGTTGTCCCAGCCACTCTGGGCAGCTTCCAACAGATATAAAAACACAACAAAGCATTCAACATTAAAATATTAATGTTAAAATATTAATATTAATTAATTAAAATATACAGGCCTGCCTTCAGGTGCCTTCTGAAGGTGATATAGCTACTTATCTCCTTGGCTCAGAGTTCACCTAAACTCAATACCCTCCAACATTTCTCTGATGAACATAGGGACATCCTAAGGCAAAGTGGGACGTTCCAGGATCAAATCAGAAACTGTGACGGCTTCTGGAAATCTGAGACTGTCCCTGGAAAATGGGGACACTTGGTCTGCTGATCTAGAGCAGGGATGGGGAACTGTTTCCAGCTAGACAGCCACATTCCTTTCTAGGTAGTAGTAGTAATAAATAAGAATAAGAATAATTGATTATTTATACCCTGCCCATCTGGCTGGGCTTCCCCAGCCACTCTGGATGGTGCTGAGAAGAGCCAGAGGCAAAAGAGAGGGGAACAATAAAGGTAAACTTTACTTTTATTTAGGCTAGTTTCTACACACATCCACACACCCCTCTCTATCCTCTGTTTTTTCTGGCTTAGGAACACACCAAGCTGACTTAAGGGCTCATCTGTTTGTCCACCTGTCATGAGAAAGTTTATAATTTAAAGATAACCCCTTAGCATTAAGGAGCTGGCAATATGAGGATTTGCCCTAAGGTCACATGAGCCAGGCAGTTCCAAAGTTGCTGCACAAGTTTGTCTTAGAGGCTGGGAAGAACAAAGCTGTCACAAGCCGTTTCTCATTCCGGCAGTTTGTCTGTGGACCCAGAATCACTAGACCACCCAGCTCAGCACTGTCTTCTCTGACTGGCAGCAGCGATCCAAGATCTCAGGAAAAGAAGTCTTTTCTCTCACCTGCTTACCTGATCTAGCTTAGGAGGAGATGCTCAGCATTGACCCTGGGGCAAAATGTGTGCTATACCATAGAACTACAGTTTCACGTTTTTTTGCTTTGCCAGCATATTTTTGCAGCCCTTAAGTGCTAGAAACTTGTAATTTTAAAAAAGTGATTTCTTTTTTTTAACCTTTTAAAATAGTATCATCTTACCTTATTCCACAGAATCTTTTGAAGTTGTAAAAAGGTAAAGGGACCCCTGACCATTAGGTCCAGTCATGGCTGACTCTGGGGTTGCGGCGCTCATCTCGCTTTATTGGCTGAGGGAGCCGGCGTACAGCTTCCGGGTCATGTGGCCAGCATGACTAAGCCGCTTCTGGCGAACCAGAGCAGCGAATGGAAACGCCGTTTACCTTCCCGCCGGAGTGGTACCTATTTATCTACTTGCACTTTGACGTGCTTTTGAACTGCTAGGTTGGCAGGAGCAGGGACCGAGCCACGGGAGCTCACCCCGTTGCAGGGATTCGAACCGCTGACCTTCTGCTCAGCAAGTCCTAGGCTCTGTGGTTTAACCCACAGCGCCACCCGCGTCCCTTTGAAGTTGTAGGTGCCACCTTTTTGTAGCAAAGTATCTTGCTTTTCTACTTTCCACCCTTCATGCACATATAACATGTTGCACAAATTTCACAAAAGGCATTCCTTCAAGAGCTCTTCTGACATCCATTGCAGGAAAGCGCCCTGAGAGTTCTTCTATTAATTGTGGAGGAGAAGAAAGGGAAGACTCTGCTCAAGTGCTTTACGCTTACAATAGCTGTTAAAAAATCTCTCCCCTTTGTTGATGCACATAATAGGCACATGGAGCAGTGGGCTTTGCAAATGACATTGAAAAAAAACACAAAACACAACCTCATGTATATATTTCTGCCTGGTGGTGTCATCTGCATTTTGTATGAAAATCTCCGTGCCTTTCAGACGAGGCTGCATCAGATGCTAAATTAATAAGCAGGGTTTGTGCAGGTGATCCTAACTTGGTGATTCCTCTTAGCCAGGGGTCAGCAAACTTTTTCAGCAGGGGGCCGGTCCACTGTCCCGCAGACCTTATGGGGGGCCGGACTATATTTTTGGGGGGAAACTGAATGAATTTCTATGCCCCACAAATAACTCAGAAATACACTTTAAATAAAAGCACACATTCTACTCATGTAAAAACACCAGGCAGGCCCCACAAATAACCCAGAGGTGCATTTTAAATGCAGTGGTACCTCAGGTTAAGAACTTAATTTGTTCTTAACCTGAAACTGTTCTTAACCTGAGGTACCACTTTAGCTAATGGGGCCTCCTGCTGCCGCCGTGCCACCGCCGCATGATTTCTGTTCTCATCCTGAAGCAAAATTCTTAACCCGAGGTACTATTTCTGGGTTAGCGGAGTCTGTAACCTGAAGCGCCTGTAACCTGAGGTACCACTGTAAAAGCTTTCTACTCATGTAAAAAGACGCTGATTCTCGGACCATCTATGGGCTGGATTTAGAAGGCAATTGGGCCGGATCCAGCCCCCGGGCCTTAGTTTGCCTACCCATGCTCTTAGCACTCGCTTCTGGTCCCCGTGGCTGATGGAGACGAGCAGGGACTGTGCAGTTGGTATTATTGAGCCACTGAAAATTTATGGATCAGGGATGGAGGAGAAATTGGTTCCTGATAATTGGCCTTGCTGGCTGAGGCTGATGGGAATTGTAGGCTAATAGCACCTGCAGGGCCACAAGTTCCCTACCCCCTGCTACAGATTACAGTTTAAGCAGCAAGCAGCCTGGAGCTTAAGTCTCACCTGGCCCTTCAATTATC